CTTAGGGTAAAAAGTTACGTACTAAATGAGGATAATATATTATAACCTATCCATTCATTCGTGTTTCAACCGTGAAGCAGTTGTGTTTGCATGGCTGTGTTTCGGTTTGAAGGATGGGATATGGCGTGAAGATACTGGGTACAGAGGAATAACACCTGAGTCCTCAGGAATGGCAACGCATGGGGGGTATCATGGGCGAAACAGTATACTCTATTATGTCCATGGTACTGCTCATGTCTATAGGCGACGGTTACCACTTTCCATCAGGTGGGTCGTCAGCTTGTTTGTCATTCTAAGTTGTATAAAAAAAAAATGTACCAAATTTAATTTAAATCCATTTAAGCTGTTTAAACATGAATAAATAACAAACACAAACATCTTTACTAACTGTCACATATATAACATTAGTAGGAAATGTCATGACTATTCTCCTCTCGTGTGTATTTGGCGTAACTTATATGTAACAAAAATTTAAAATGAGAAGTTATATGTACACTTATCTTATTTTTAAACGTTCGATTATAGAATGTAAGAACATACCATATAGATCATTGTTTTTTGGTGGCAGTCACCGTCATCATGTTTATTAATTATTTGTGTAGTCACGTGCTCTTTTGTAATAGTTATAGGAACTATTTTTGCGTGTACTTGAATACGTGTGTGTATGTAAGTAGGACTGCGTAGTTTACCGTAATTGCTTTGGATTTTTGCTATCAGTTTAATGTTCCCAGTTTGGGTAATATTTAAAGAATGTTGATGTTTAAATTATACCACTAGAACGTATTTTTAAAAAGCATTTAATCGTAATCCCTCATGAATTTGCCTTCAATTAACAGTTTCATTGAAAAACGCAGAGCATTAAAAATATTGTTACAAATGTAATAATGTCAAATTCTACACATTAATCTGTACGTTGCTACCAATCTATAGAAAACAATCATGAAATAAATTAATTTCATAGGTGTTCCTAAAATTATAAATTTCTGATTCTTTTTTTATAGAGATATACTTTTTTTATAGAGATATACTTTTTTTATAGAGTAGGCAGAAAATCCCACGGATGTAACACCGTAATGAAAAATTGTGCAAGAAGAATATAATTATGATAAATGATTATGAAAATTTAACGTATTCACCGTTGTTATTTTGCTACGGAATCCTAAAATGAACGGTCACCACTGTAATGAATATTTTCCTATTCTGGTGAGGTAGTTGACTATAACGACCAAAACAATGAATCTTCGTTCTTTATCTACTTCTTCAATTTTTTTTAGTTCGGAAAGTGATCTATGTTGACCATCAGGATTCCACGACAACCTAAAGGATCAATGCCGTCTACAATATATTTTATCACTAATTTTCAAACACCATTCAGATATTTAAAAAGAAACATACAATCAAGTATTTATACACTTTAATATCTACCGCAACTTCGTATTCATTGTTTTGAGAATTGGGAAAACTATTAAAATAAACTACTTCCAGATGGCATATCAGGATGAAACATACACAAAATTTTAAGTTAGACCTACAACTATGGTAACTAAATCCAATTTGATGCAGTAGTTTTTGTATGATACCGGCACATGTCGAACACAAACAGACAGATAATATTTCTAAAAAACATACACACATTACTTTGACCTTTATTGGTTTTATTAAGATTCTCATATCAATTATTCTTAAATATCTGCCGTGTACAGATATCGGTAAATTGAAATTTTATTATATTAAAAAAATCATGGTAAAAAATATTCGTATTACATATAATTACTAGATCTTGAGTTCCTACAATGTATTCGACTCTCGTATCAATATCACTAAGCATATACTTTTGCGGTCTGTCGTAGAGAAAGCGGACTATAGAGCTCAGGTAGTGCATAATTAGCCTTGGATGGCGTAGGCAGTACAGGCTGATGTTCGCACTTGTTTAAAGTACCACTGCACTTGTAGTTCTAGTGAAAAGTGTAATAATTAGTTCCCTAATTATAATTGCATGTCCCAGATGAAACAGAATACATCACTCAAACATACTTAGTAGGTATATTTAGACAATACGAGTACATAGAGTATGGATTAAATGGATGACGCAACTGCATGTACTTTGTATTATAATTTCTTACCCTAAATAAGGATCTTTCCTAACTTACGGCAACGACATTACTAGTAACTTCAATTTAAAATTTTTGAGCTTCTACATGGTATTGTTATTGAAAAAAGTATCAACGATAAAAATAGCATTTGGTATTGCTTTTAAAAGTGTTTGGTGCATAAGGTGGCATGTTAGCATTTAAATCATAAACATAGATGGCATAGCTAATTCGTTTATCTATCTCAATTTATATATATATATATATATATATATATATATATATATATATATATACATATACAACACATAATAGTAAGTGCATAGTATTATTATGTATTATTAGTTAAAAGGTGAGATATTATATGAAGACTGGTGTCAATACTAAACTGTTTGCCTTAATGTTACAAAAGCTATTTCTTGAAAGTAAATACTTAACCTTCTGTATTAAAATGCTTTTAATAACACCGTTTGTAAAGTTTTATTCAATTTTTTTAAGCTTGAATTTAATGTAGTAACCTCAGAATTGAAATTTGACTTGAGTAAATAAAACTACAGAGTCTAATTAGGCCCAAATACATGCAGTTGCAGCATCTATTTATATCCATACCTGTGGTATCAATATATAACATTTGTATAGTTTAATAGTGGTGATACTTTATAGTAGTGATGATTTAGTTTAAATATAGATATTTTATTTATTTATTTATTCATTAAAAATAATTATAACTAATTATAGCAAAAGCCAAATCAATGTTATAAATCTAGTGTGCTAACAAAAATACTCGGGTCGTAGATCTTTACTTATGTTTGAGCATCATCCAAACATATACTGTATATTTAACAAGTAAGTACATAAGCACCTAATCAACATAAGGTATGTTAGTGAGTAGGCAGTAATATTATGTAGATAATAGCAATTGATATATACCTCTACAGTCACTGATATAACTATCGGAATGCCGAGTGATGTTCGTAGTTCGTATACTACTGAGTACTAGTACACAGTATTATGTAATAACACAGTTGTTAATATACCAGACTGATTCCGTTACCTAACTGCTGCTATAACAACTAAGTAATTGTTATGTATATAGGTGAATCGAATTGCATTTGCTGGGCTGCATATTTGAATCCTATGTTCATCCCATTACGTTTACGCACCAGGAAAATAATTACGCATTTAGGTTGATATAGCTGAATTACGAGTCAATTCATCACTAATTGACAAATTGGTATCCTCATTAAAACAAGTATATTGCGAATTATTTCAGCATATTATCGACTTTGTCAAGCGTAAATATTGTAGATAGGAGGCGAACGTAGTTAAATTAGTATTCGCATAGATAAAATCATTATAATAGGCAAACAATCTCGTTTCTTTCTTGCTCACTCAATCGTATCAAGAATAAAATGAAATAGTAACGAAATGTTGTCTTTTAATTTTTCATCGACTTATGACCGACACAGCGTTAAACAATGCAATCGGTTTGCGTAATCTTTATTTCCCTTTCATGATATTTTTTGATAATGTAATTATTTTAACTGTCTTCTTAACTTCCACACGTGTGGATCTTTTGCTTAATCTTATTTAAATTTCATTCTCACCTTTGAAAGAACTGAAAATTTTATTCTTCTACATCCACAGTTACGGTTGTACATCGTCTATTAATCAATTAAAACACCAACGAATTCATATCAAGATTTTTATTTGCTTAATAAATAAGACCTTATCATTTTTCTTTACACCAATTTTGTAACGATTGTAAACGCTTGTAAAAGATTGTAAAATTATAAAATTGTTATAGTACAAATAAGAGAATAAATGTTGTGGATTGCATAAAGATTTATTAAATTATCAAATACATCTTGCTTCGCATCATCAACATGTGAATAAAATCTATTAATTGCAAAGGAAATTATCAAAATAGATTTAGAAATGGCTGAGATATGGCGTAACGTTCACACAATAAGAGGTTATGTTCACAAAAAAAAAACGGGTTTTATTTGTGACAAAACCAGTTATTTTGATTTAAAAACTAAACTACTATACCGATTTTGATAAAATTTCTACGGGACCACTCTGTAAATATATCCTTTTAGGTAGGAAAAGAATTTTCTGAATCAGTTTATAGTTAACTGACGGGCATAAATGATAAAATAACATAAAAAAATACAACCAAATTGAGAACCTCCTTTTTGAAGTCAGTTGAAATCATAACTCATTTTATGTTGGTCTTCATGATCGCGCATTGAAGGATTCCAAGTACAAGTTGTCATCAACCTTGAGTACATGTATTTCATCGCCAGTTAACGATACTCTTGAATAAATGAAAAGCTGTAGTAATGATTTTTTTATGTAGCAGACAGTGTTCGCATTAACATTTGCTCAAGGTGACCGCGCTCAAGTGTTGCGGCTGACTGAACATCGGTTGAAACGTTGTTTGTTGTATCTACCTGTGACTTCGAATTGTTTTAGATTGCTATGCACTGTATTGTTCCGTTCATAATTTTTAAATTAGTTTTAATATTATAATCGTTTTGTTGCATATGCACCTGCACCTCACTATACTTTAGCGTATACTAAGTGAATTAATGCTAGAGTAATACGTAGAGATACCATAAAAAGTGTTTATGGAAAGTTGAAAAAAATGCTACTAGACAATAGTGAAGGTTGCGCATTATTTATCAGACAGTCAGTGTAAGGGCTGAGATATTGTAAAGATATTTTTTAAAGTAAAATATACCTTACTACGTAAAGATACTAAAGTAGAGCAATTTGAATAATTGCGGCTTAAACAGCTGACCAAGGACAACATATAACAACAATATTGATAGTCTAAGTATGCCCGAAAAAAGTAATTTGATGGTAACTCAATTCGCAATATGAATATTGTATATATTGTTACAGACGCAGAATTGAAACGTATAGAAGAAGGCAATCAGAATGCGTACCCAGATTTGACCAGTCCTTCACGGGCGCGTGTGAGCAACAGAATCTGGAGACTAGCGCATTGCAGAAACGTTTCCTGGAGGGTAAAGCCAAGCGTCAAGCGAAGAAAAGTGAACGTAAACCCGAGCTGCCGGCAATCAGCGGAGTTCATAGCAGTGTTCATGTGGTGAGTTAATATGAATACTACTTCTTTATTGAGTTCAGAAGTTTGCTTCAACAAAACTGATGTGTAATTCTCGACTACTCTTTAATTTTATCAGTTGTTGTATTGTCGTGGTTTCTATGAGTCATGCCTTAGTCAGCTATGTCCATGCAATAATTTTAAATATTTATCTTATAATCATCCAATAATATCGTATTTGGTTTTACAATTGAACGCAAGTTTGTCGTTTATTGTTACAATAGTATAATATCTACTTACATTTTAATTAAGAAATGTATCACTTTTTATTTTTGGTTAGAATTTACAAATATCATGTATCGCAAGTTTTATAAAAATGGTTATGGATTAATTTTAAACTTATTATGTAATCACCATAACTGAGTAGCTCTACAAGCAAAACATTTAAATAATACTAAATACATAATAAATACTAATTCATTAGGTTTAGTAGTATCAACGTTTTTGCCTTTTACTTTTTTTTAATACATATTGTTCCAATAGATTTATTCCGGCTTTTAAGGTGAAAGCGTGTTGAGTGTGGCAAAGCAAGTAATACGCGCTGGATATGATCGTAGTAGGTAGAGCAGAAAGTGTCTTTGTACAGCGCATAACGCCAGTCGCCTCGACGTGCATTGATCAAACACTCGACTTAGCAGATGACCTTGTCTGTCGATCCCACTTCCACCCGAGTAGTTATTTACATTTAGATGATCGGATTTGTTCGAAATAAACCATAATTGCAATCTAATAAAACGAATTAAATCGTTCATTAAAGTTGTATTAGTTAATAAGTAGACTAAATACGTCTAAATTATGTCTTATCTTTTGACCTGTTTCTCATTTTGCATAAAACGACCACCTGTACAGTAGAAGCCGTTAAGTTTTAATCCTCCGCTAAATGAAAACACGACGACAACTATTCTGCTCCATACACCAACAACCAGTCGCCGAGTGTTTACTTAATTTTTTTAACTATGAAATCTTAAGCATCAATACATAGTGTGTCTTGTAAGGTGTTTTTCAGCGAACCCTTTTATATTTTATTATCTTGTTTAGTCACAGATAGAAAAAGAGACGCCGCCACAGGTTGATTTTTACCTTTATCTAAATTAAACAAGATAAAACTACCAGTACCTATACATATAATCCTATTTGACAGAAGTGCTTCAATTTATACGAAAGTGTAAGGGGAAATCGTAACAAAACTGGCCAAAAGTGAGGTTAATTATGTAAAATTAAAAATCCACTTAATTAAGTCAATTTTTAATTTTACATTTAATGTTAAATTTAATGTTTATTTTGTGATAGATGGGGTAACATTACCAAGCGTATGAATTATCTAGCAGACGGTTATTCTGTTTTTTTTTGTCAGCCCAGATAATAAATACATTATGAAAAACTTATACAGACACTAAATCCTATTTAGAGATTTTTTTTGTTAAAATATTGTGGGATAAAACTATCATATGTTTATTTAGAGCATGAAAAAATCTAGATCCTTATTATGGTTTGCGGGTTTATTTAATCTTTCAAATATAGGTATTAAATTTAAAAGGATTTATTTTATATAGTTGTTTATTGTAATTAGTATTGTTTTCATATTGTATCGTTATTCTTTTTAAATATTAGCAGTAAATTTATAATATAATAATATCACTAGGTGTTTATTTTTCTAAAAGAGTTTGCTTTAGAAATATCAATAAACAAATAGATCTTCTTTCAATTCGTTTCAAAGCTAAATGACTATTAAAGCTAATGATATTTACATATACTTTAATTACTAGGACTTCCTAGTAGCTAAAGGAATTAAATAATTATTGTTCTAAACTATGATGAGGAATTTTAAAAAATTGTATTATGCTTAGATTTAAAATAGGGTTGAGTTTTTAACATCAGAAAAATGATAATCAAACAGTGTCCATTTTTGGTTTATGGGTTAATCTTAGCAAAAAGTGGATAATCTAATATTACTTTATAACAACGCAGATAAAATTATATTTCTTAGTACCATGTTGTGAATCGACCAGTGCCGAGTACGTTAATTGAAGCTATAAAGTTGTGACTTTTTCGGTTCGGTTCAGGATAAGAAAGTTAATGCAATGTCTGATATGAGGCACTTATGAACACTTTACACACTATGAACGTTTTAGTCCTCAGAAATATTTTTAAGTTAGTCTGTGCGCCCTTCTACTTTCGCATTGTATATGTTGTTTCGTTATTCATCCGACAATTTTTTTCATATGACCAAACCAATGTAACAAATTCTTTCTCATTTTTACACCGACTTGCTTTAATTCAACTCTTTTATACATGATACTATATTTCGTATATGAGTAACAGTTTACTTCGCAAATTTTGCGCAGTGTTCGCATTTCCAACGCATTTATTTTATATATCATCATCATTATATCAACCTTTAACTGTTCAGTGCTGAACATAGCTTCCTTCTTAAGGGGGTTTTTCCAGTAGTTGCTACGCTTAGCAGATGGATTGAAAACTGGCAGGCTCAGGCTTTGGAGATGTTTTAAGACGGACGCTACTGCCCATTTCTCGCCATCCCTAAATCGCCACTTACGTCACGCTCAGGAAGGGAAGGGGTGATCTATTCACCTATTATAGTATATATATATATATATATATGTACTACTTTGATGACAACAAGTATACGGGGTTACCGTTACCTATGGACGCTTGTAACATTAGGAATGTCACGCGTAAGCTACTGACCCTTAAGAAATTTTAATATGCCCGTTTTGAAAACCTCCATGATGTAGTCTCTACGGAAAAGCCTCGGCAGGAAGATTATTCCACAACCTGAGTGTTCGCAGGAGAAAGTTCCTCTGAAACCGCACTGTGAGTGATAATTGTGGTCTAAGATATGAGGATGGATTTCCTGCCGATGGCGAGCTGTGTAATGGTGAAAGGTGGCTGTAGGCATCACATCGAAAAGTCCTTCAGAACATAATCCGTTGTACAAGCGGTAGAAGATACAAAGAGCCTGTTAACATATAATTTATATTGTTAATGTATAATATATCTTAGTATGTTAAAATAATTACGTCACAGCTTTTTCATCACCACTTCCCTTCATACGCTTTCTGTTTTTACCTAATGGTTAGCTCGCATTAAACTCGTCACTTGTACATTTTTTTTTATTTTGTAATAAAGAATAAATAAAATAAAATTTACAAAATCGACATAACATAACATAACAACAATCAATATATTCATCCATTACTTTCTATATAAATATGTATATCTTTTAACTATTTCTTTCTCTTTGTCTCTCTCTCTCTTTTTCTCTGTCAGTCGATATATTTCTTGTTTATAAACAACGCTTCCAGGTTAACTAAACTAATGGCTACTCAAGTGGTCGCCAGTTTCTACCATTCTGGATATCTGTAAGTCTATCTATCTCTCTCTCTCTCTGTATGTGTTTCTAAGATATCTGGATAAATAGATATTACAGGTATTAAATAGTTACTTGACGTCATCAAAAATTCTATAGATATCTAAACAAGAGACGCTGATACCGCTTAGTAATAATATAACAATTTTTCCTGGTACTCCTATTTTTATTCTATTGTTATAATAAATTTTGTGTGAATTTTGTTCATACACTTGCATAGATAAGTACTTATCTAGTTGATATTCATATATTTTTAGAATATATCCTTAGAACCTTGGCCGGAACTATTTGTTCTCGCGCGTAATTATTGAGTACTGTAGTCACAAGTTGTAAGAAAACATCCTTGTTTTATATCACGTGTTTGCTTGATATACATAATCGTTATTGCTCGTAGTACATTGTTATATTTACGACGGAATTTGTTGACTTGTTGACAAATTATTCAAACAATATGTTTTTAATGAAATTCTTGTTAGCGTTTACTCCCATGTTGGTGTCATACTCATTTTGTCATATTTTTTTTATAGTTAATATAGAATTCTTTTTTACGAATGATAATAATAATAATGTTTGTTGTTTGTACCTACATATTTATTGATTTTCAATGAACGGAAGTGACTTAAATTGTTAAGTATATTATTGGGAGATTTATAAGATTTTCAAACAATAGTTTCGCGAGTAGTTTACATTGATCTGAAAAGTGTTTAAAATGTAATTTGCAATTAATTAATGTATTAATGCAATTACTATTCCACACGTTGTGCGTACGCGCCACGTTGTCGGTACACCGGATGCAGGTCGACTTCAATTGACTTGACCCTCTGGCACCGCACGCCGCTGGTATCCCGTGCCTCATGCTCGCTACAGATTACAGCCCGCACGCGACATTTATATTGTTATTTACTACTGTTCTATAACTATTGTTTAATGTGAAGAGATAAAGTTAACAAGTTTCGTAGTAATCGAGAGCAGTTTTAATTTGGACTCCTTTAAAGTGATTTTTACTTCTTTAACTATCTTTTCTTGTTTTTTTATCTAAATTCTATTCAACTTTACATTATATATTTAACTATACAAAACAGCGTTGAGTATAAGGGGTCAAAAGTCTGTACATTTAATTATTTTTGCAAAAATTAGTTGGAGAGGCTAGAAATACAAAATGGAATACAAAACAGGCATGTTTGGACTTTATATTTGTCTGATAAAATTATATAATAAAGTGAATAATTCTAATTATTCAGATATATATTTTTTTATTATTAATTACTCAATTAACCCAATAAATACTGAGGGGAACAAAATTGCAGGCATGATTGCTTAAGTGAGTAAGTATAATTTTTTATAATAATGGAATAAATTCGCTACACATTCCTGCCACTGTAGCTCCTGTATTACCTGGAACTATAATATTTTTGTATTTCCAAAACCTAAACATATGGAATATTATTATGTTACATACATATACAAGATACATTCAAAAAAATTTCATATTTCTAGTTTCGGATCGATATACAGAGTAGGTAGTCACCCGAATTGTTGTTCATTGGTTAAGAAATTTCTCTTTTTTAAACTAACCATATGGTTTTTTTTATTACTTACTAGAATATAATTTACTTTAGTACCAACAGTAATAAAACATCATAAACGACATTTGGTATTCTGAAGTTTTAGCTATTGAACAATCGATGAATATGAATACAATATATTATAATGGAGGTAAATTGTAGACTCAAGTACAAACAAGGAGATCTGCAGGACGTTGAGATTATCAATAGAGAATTTCGCACGTCTACAGTATTTTCATTATATTTGTACTGTTTACTCGTGTTTAACTATTATGATTTTAATTACGATAATAGTATACTAAAAATGCGGTAAGTAGATGAGACCAGGGCTAGGGCTGGTTAAGAGATTGTGCAAACTGCGCAAGTTTCACAACAAACGCCTCGCATTGTCTCGCGCCGCTCACCGCGACGACCTCCGTGCGCCCGCGTTGTTTTCTGACGTATTTTATAACTATAGTACTTACATACAATCGTTGATTACATAGACAGAATGTAATTAATTAATGTATGTAATTTTACAAAATAATCTCGCAGATTTTTTAACTTGTAAGATTTTAATTTACGTAATTCGCATAACTCACCTCTATTTCAATAATTTATTCTGCTGCCTGTAAATAGTTTACATTCTGTTAAAGAGTGAAATGTGACTGGGTACTTAGGTAAATTTTTGGGTACTGTGGTAGGGTAAAGATGTTTACACACGAATGATCTAATTAGAAGTTAACAAATATTGAATTTAATCTCATATTCTATCAGTTTGTCAAAGAATTCTGTAGTTTTTCCAAATAACTAATGAAGATATTTTAAATTTATTTCATTATTTGTAGCAATTTCTCTTACAGAAAATAAAATGAAAGTGGAAAACGTTGGTAAATAAGTCTCATAAGAGTTTTCTCTCGTGAACGAGATTTTTCCTAGAGACTACAGGACGGTTTTTTAAAAATGGTGTATTAAGGTTTCTTTAGTCGACACCCTTAGTGACGTGACTCCATCCTAGTGTTGCAGGAGTCTATAGGCTACAGTGACTGTTTACCATCAGACGGACTATATGCTTGTTTGTCACTTTTGTGCAATAAAAAAATAAATGCTCATGTTCACGAGTTAAGTTGCTCGCATATTTTGATAAATAACATTAATTAAGAAATGTCGTCGTCTATTATCGTTAAATATCAAAGAAATATCATCTTCAAATAATATTCTGGCAATTTTTATACTTATCAAAAACGAGGTTATAGATATAAACAATAAAAGAGAATAAAAACGAACCAAGTTAGACCTTGAAATCTATAGACAAGAGATCGGTAAGGGCCAGTATTGAACTATTTTTTACGATTAATTAATATATTGTATCTACGTTACGTATTCATATCAAAAAATATGCAACCTTTAACTATTTGTAATTACTCGTGTACACCAACGACTTGTACAATGTGCTGATTTGCAAGGCGCTATCGAATCACAATCATCTTGCAACATATCATCCCATGATTTACTAACGAGAAAATTTATCAGAGTTAAATTAAGATTATATCTATATCAATCGGAATTGGAAAATACTACGATGTTAAAATACCAGAATTTTAGTCATGTTTGCTCACAGCGTACATACCGAGTCTGACGTCTGTTTTGACTTACTTGTACATAGACCATGAATGTTACATATTTACTGACGTGACAGTGTTTTTCTTTTGTTTGTCATAATTCATTTACGTATAAATGTTGTTATATTAATATTGTTAAATTTTATAAGCTGTATGATGTATAAGTAATAAGTAGGTATTTTTCTTAGATTAATAATATTATTTTTAAAACTTACATTCATTTTTTAACGATGGCTATATACGTGCTCATGGAAGTTTTATGAATTTTTTGTGTTTGTAGTTTTCGACGAAGAAGTCTTACCGATGAATTCGAAACAATTGTCGGAAACCCAAAACACAGCAAGTTTATAAAATTCTCAAGATAGACTGGAAGAAGTCCCTTTAAGGAATAAGTCCACCTGTGTATATTTTTGTTATAACCTAATATCTATAAGTGAAAGTACAAAAGCATATAAATAAGTGAATAATTAAAATTGCCGTCGTGTAATGTATACATAGATTAAGAATATAGAATTATATATAGTAATCTCAAGTCTTTTCTATCGAAATTATTGTAATTTTGCTAGCAAATTATTAAATTAATAAAAAATGCAGTGGGAATTTTACAAATGTAGAATAATCTTAGTCTTATGTAAATATATAATACATAATCATAGTCTTGAGATTATTTCAGAATTAATAAATACATATATAGAATAGATATAATAGATTACGTCAAGTTTAAACAAATACTATGGTTGACTTAGGCTTTGGTTGGATAGATTACCGGAATATTGTACCTAATTTAATATCTACGTACCCAATTTTTTTTTTACGATAATGGAATGGTAATTCCGCCTGCGCTAACAGTATTCGCTGGCGGGATTTCAATAAGAAATTTAAAGGCAGGTCAGTTAGCCCATCGTGATGAATATATCTGGAATTTAGAATAATAGTACGTAGGGGTCTCCCTCTGGAGACCACGTGAAGGTTGACCTTACAGGGTATACTGCTATAAATAGGACTGGTAGTCGGCGTTTCTAAAAATTTTGCTTTGGTTTCTGTCACAATATGTGCTTTATTATGGGCATGGGTTGTTTTCACAAAACAAATGTTCGTTCTTAGCATTCATAATTCGGCTTTCTTAGATACTACGAGTATTTTATATATAAATTATTTTTTGCGTCTTCCCCTGCGTGAATTTGTTAAAATCCACATTATGTTTATATACATTTATATATATTTAAACTTTTTCCGTGGTTTCGGCTCTACCCTGATCAGTCAGTTTCTGCTTTTTGGATAATATCTGATAAATTATCTAAAATACTATAGTATTTAGTATTGAAGATCACGAATGAGAATTCCATCTGGAATCCATAGATAGGTAAAGATCCGGTTCAAAGTGCAAATCTAACAGTAACATCCTCGTTATACATTAATGGATTTGACTAATTACGTTTATTTCGAATGTGATAAGGAACATAATTGGAAATGATGAGGGCATGAAAATATTCTATTATTTGTTGTTTGGCGACGTGACGGCGCTATGTAATACATGATAGAAGTCTAAAAGACTCGATATTGGATTAAAATTATACTAGCTTTTACCGGCGACTTCGTCCACGTGACCGGGATATATTTACTGGCGGGATAACAAGTAGCCTATATCCTTCTCCGTCTCATATAGTACGTGTATACTAATTTAATAAATTTAATAGTGATTGGTTAAGCCGTTAGGTGCTATAAGGTATTATAATAAACAAACTCACTTTTATATTTATAATATTAGTAAGGATTTAATCACTTCATTAATAGCGTTTTTGACTTTTGTTTACCAAACTGTGGCAGCGTTGCAATTATTTGTCAATTTTCGAAAACAGTTGTATAATTTTCAATATTTTTGATGGTGTAATAATAGGTATCACAGGTCGCTCATTATATGTTGTGATATCTATGGTGTTGTTTATACCTACCCTATTTAAAGCAAATAAATTTATTATTATTATTATTATTAAAGATGACGGATTCCACTTATCATCAGGTGGGCTATCACCTGTTAGCTTATTTGCAAAGCATTTGAAAACTCACTTACATATTTTATTACACGAAGTTAAAATTGTTGTGTGGTCACAGCATAGAATAAGCCACCTCATTCTTTCCTGTGGGTGTCGTAAGAAACGACTAAGGAAACTTAATAGTCGAGGGACGGACAGCAGCATCTATCCAAAACATCTTCAAGGCCTAACTGCTGTTGCCAATCCGCCTGTCAAGCGTGGCAACACCCAACAATAGAGGGGGGCCTATATTCAGTACTGGACAATTAACGGTTGATTTGATTATAATATATGTATTACAATAGTTCCATACAATCGACTTTTCTGTTACACATTGCTTAATATTTATAAATGATATGCCTTAATTATGGCCGTATACTTTCTTGTTTACCAACATAGTTATAATATAATATATTTACTTATTAATTATCAAATATTTTTTTTGTGTAACATGTTTAAATTAGCGTTAAGTTTCTGATGAGAACTATAATTTGTTTTTTGTTGTTGCAGCAACAAAAGTTTGGATGCGGTGATTACGAGCCACCAGCTAAACTGCAGTGCGTCGGTGGCGGGGGCGGCGCAGGCGAGGCACTAACTAAGTTCTCTGTAGAAATAGTGCAACAGTTGGAGTTTACAACTTCCGCTGCAGACTCGCACCCACAACAGATCTCCACCAACGTCACAGTGAAAGCGCTAGCTAATGCTGTCAAGACTTCCAGTTCACCTCCACCGCAGCAACCTCCACCCAGAGTGCCTACGCCTCTGGACTGCGAACGTGAATGTAAGGCAGAATGCAAGTCCGAAGTAGCGGACGATGAATTTGTTGGCCTCGATGAATGTGCGGCGGCCCTGGAACGCGACGCGGCCTCCGCCTTCCCCGTCTTAGCCGATCTTATTGGTGAAGAAGACGGTGAAGATGCCTTCGAAGATCTCATTACAGAGATATCAGGCTATTCGGAATTTATGAAGGATTTCGATCTCGATGGCAGCAAACTCAATGGCAATGGTATGGGCCTGGAACCGTCAGAAGGCGAGCCTGCTCCGCGGCCGTATGGTGGTGGCGAGATGTCACCTGCCGCACAAACGCTCAAACATATGGCTGAGCAGCACCAACAAGCAGCGGGTGGTGACTGGGCTCGTTACCGAGGCTATGGTGGCTATCGCCCACGACCGGCGCCGCCGCCCATCGACCACTTACACATGTCACAGCAGCAGCAGTTGCATCTAACGCAACCACACCATAATCTCCAGGTATGTTTTTAACATTAAAATAAATTACTAAATCAGTATTATATTATTATTAGTAGTAGGTTATTAGACTATTTGGATTTTTTATATCGAAGTCGAAATATCATGCAATTTTTTGAAAACTGTGGTTAACAAAATCTTATATATTTTAGATCCTTTTGTATATTAGAACTCGTTTGTATATTCCCGCGAAATGCGTACGTATAAGTTCCCGCCATTTCTAATCTTGGTTTTTAAATGCTACATGAATAAAAAGTGTTTTCTTCTAGAAAAATGTAACCTAAGTCATTATCGATTTCTTAGCACATCATAAAATTTACTCGATAAATTACGTTTAGTAATTGGAATTCTTCTTTATTGGGTAATTCGTGACGCGAAAGGACATAAAAAAACATGGGAGTCTGTTGTAGTATCGACCGGGGCAGTGTGCGCGCGCTGCCCGCCCACCGAGAGTCTACTATGAAGGGTTTCGAGGCGAATGCGATACGACATTGTGCGCCATCTTTCTCTAGAATTCCTATAAGATAGAGACAGACTATGTATCACTCTCGATAAAAATTTTGTAGATGTTTAATAGTATGTGGTAGTAGCAATCCTATCTAACAATATAAACTACCGTTGTCATAGTATGTAGTCTTAGATGCACAATGCAGATACAGTTGATGCGAATGATTTATAATTTATCAAGAGACTAATACGTACAATGAATGAGCTAATATGATCAGCATAACAAGTTAAGATAATGAGCCACTGGCTCAAGGACTTGTCGATGAGATATGCACAAATGAAACGATATACCGATATCAAATCTAATGAATATTTTTATTATCCTCGGTATATAGATTAAAACTAATAAAATAAATGTTATTTAATTACTAATAAACTGGATACTCACATAGTTTGTATTAAATTGCAAAAGAAGGCATTGTAATTTGCTAATAAAAGTAAATTAATACAAATTCGATAATGTCTTTGAGTCTACAGCATTTTTAACAATTCATAAAGAATCTTTAATCATGAAAATGGCATACAAAGGACTCACGAATACATTACACTAATCAACTTTTTTATTGGATATAATTTTGGAGCATTCACAATAGGAGCGAGCACATTACGTTTGCAGACGTTTCCTATTTTCTCTACCTCAGTACTATTAGTTTGATCCAAAAATGTAATATATAGATAATGGTAGGCAGGCATGTTGCTTTACGTAAATGAGCTCCAAGACTTAATTCTTTGTTGTGCCAATTTAATTAAAGAACTTTTTATTATACATTCGCTCGGGTTTGTGTATTGTATGTTGTTCTCTGAGATGTTCGTTGTTTTTAATAATAAAAGGTAACTAAGCTTGAGAACCAAACGGAGCAAACCGCTATTGGTGTAATTGTATGGGAAAAGTATGTAAATTATATGCGTAATCTTAGTAACTTGTGACAAAAAAAAATTTGATTATTCATTCCAAATTAATTCCTATAGTGAAGTATTTGACTAATAAGTATATGTGTACTTATTCCATGATAATGTAAAATATTTTTCAAATATGTATTTTTGTGTTGAAAGCACCTCGTTCGTATTTTCTTTTGATAATCTATCTACATATATGAAAGAGAATGCTGATTATCCATATATCAACGTACAAATGAACCTGCACATGCACATGAGTACTTTATATAGCGTTGATGAACAATAAACAAGGAATTTTGAAAATTTCACACCTTAGAGGGTAAGATGGGGTTGAAAGTTTGTATAGAATTTCGTTAATTTAGAATTTAGACTCGTGAAATGTTAGATTTAGGCTCTTGTTACAAAACAATAATTGATGTTTATTGGCTTTTGAAGAATACACTCCTAAAGGATTAAAGAAGTGGAAGAAATTTAAAAATTTGTCCTTAATATTTAACGAATTGGTTTAATTTTATATACTTATTCTTTTAGTTTAAATCCACCATAATATATATTTATAAGGATTTAGAGTTAGAATCTGTCTCATACTCCTGGTTTAGTGATAACTAACCCTCAGACAAAATATCTTTTTTTTTATACAACCTAGAATGCAAACAAGCTGACGGCCTACCTGATGGGAAGTAGTAGCCGTCGCCTATAGACATGGGCAGTACCATGGACATAACATAGTATACTGTTTCGCCCCTGATACCCTCCATGCGTGGCCATTCCTGAGGACTCAATTGTTATTCTTTTTTACAATCTATCTTTTTTATCTCTCTTTTGAAAAGTAAATGTACTGATATTGAAATTGGTGTTATACACGAATTCTTGTAGTCATTTGATGGAACACACCTTGCTGCCTTTATATAATATAGGTCTCTAAAGCTGCAGGATTCTTTTAACTTAAATTGTGACTATGTTTGTTCTCTCTTGAATATTGTAATACGATAGTTTAAATTATTTAACGAAATATTCCACACGATATGATTTAAGCGTCGATTACTAGTTATGTTATAGTTTATTTAAACACGTGAGTACTCTCCGTTTTGCGGGCCCACATGTGTCGTACGTACATACCACATGTCTGAATTTATCAAAACTGCCTAACAAGGGCACCTCCAATGACGTGCTACTTATTGAAACAGTAACCGATATACCGTCCAAAAGTACGTATACAATAGTTTGGGAATATTAAATTCATATCAGGCTACCATTAGGTTGCTGTCTCAATGTATCACAATCGAATAATTATTATTACGAATTAGAATTAATTAGATGGTTTCGCCATAGTGGAATTCAAAAACAATTCCAATGTGTATTTAAAAAACAATTGCAAATTATAGGATTCATATTGCGTATCTGCATTCGAGAAACTGATGCATTTCATTTAGGAAATAGAATAGAGAAAAGTTTTTTTTTATTTCTGTCTAGCGAGTTACAAAGTTTGAGATGTTTACGGTGACCTGTTTGAAATGAATATTTAGTTTCCGACTAGGATTTAAAAAAAATTATTGGCGAATCTTCATTATACTCCTTAAGCTATTTTTATATCTTGTATTCTTCTTCTTTGAGTTCCGCTCCTATCGGAGGTTGGACAACATAGGAGTAATTTTAATTTTTGAAGCTGCCGCTCTGAATACTGTGGTGGTACTACATTCAAACTACCTTAGGTAGGTTCTTCAACAAGGAGTGCCGCCTCATCTCGACATTTTTTATATTAAGTAGAATATAAAAATGATTTTTTTTTTTCATTTCATAAATTTTATATATATTCTTTAAAATAATATAAAACTTGTAAATTACATTGTTAATGTTGTGAACAGGGTTGACTTATCTTTGACAGAGATCTCTTCCAGTCAACCCACTACAGTTGGAAAGCATGTCGTTAGCGGGCAGCTAAAGTGCTATGACTATTAATATTTTTAACCATTAATATTTTATAATCTGACGTATGGAGCAGAAAGGTTGGTTACTCCTGTAGAATTTCCTTATACTCTTATAATTTTACTAAGCACTAAGAAGTAATTCCCCTACATTCTTACACTATGGGGAAATTAATTCTAAAGTACTATAAGTGTTGCATAAATTCTCAGAAGCACCTCAAAGGTGGTCAATATTTTCAAGAACATGATTCATGTTATTCTTCGAATTAAAAGCCAATACCATACGGCATTTTTTATTATGTTTGTTTGCTATGAGACTAAATTGTATTACATCGTTCTCGGTCTCGGTGACATGAGAGTAGTTGATGCAGGGTGATACGTACGATGACATTAGGAGTGTGTACGTATAGAATAAAAAGTGTGTTAGCTCCCGGGCTTCCTGTATCAGGACCACGTGTCCCTTTCACCCGCCCGACGCCGACGGCTCGACGCCCGCCTGTGTTGAGCTGACTCGACGCTGCAGTAATTAAACTCTTCTCCTATACGTGCATAATATAAAAACATAGTATACTATATACTTGAAATGAGAATAAATATCTACTGCTTATCTCGATATTTGTAAGTCATCTAAGAATATTAACTTTACATTATATATATATATATATATATATATATATATATATATATATATATATATATATATATATATATATATATATATATTTATACAACTTAAAATGGCAAACAAGTATACTACTTATTATTGTTATTATTACTACACTATGTTATATATCTAAATTATTAACAAAATTTTATTATCAACAAGTTACGTAAACGTTGTTATTATCTAGACAAATTTTTGTGCCTCGAAGCAAGTTTTTTTATTATTCTGTTCAGGTCTTACTTTGTATTGCCATGGAATATATTCACTACGATTTAATTAACATGTTCACATTTTTTATACATTGTGCTCGAATTTGAAGCGTTATTTTCAAAAATCATAATGTTTATATTATAAGACAGTATTAGTTTATGAACCACCATGAGTCTTACTATTCGACTTAAATTATTGACTTTATAATAATGATATCGTTTTACAATTTTAGTTTGGAGATTTTAGAATATTACACCTGAGAATTGATCCTATTACTTTTATGTGCTAGTAGTATTTCAGTTGAATAAATATTTATTCTATCAAAAATCAATTCTTGTTACGAGAAATGTATCAAGTTTTATTTCTAATATAATTTACCTTTGACACTAGCAATCGTAATGCAAAGATGGGCGTTTATGACGTCAGTACGTGGGAAGCGCTATTTTTATCCATTTTCAAGGGACGAACGAACGTCGAGCTTTGTAAGTGCTACGTTTTTGATCCCCGGATAGTAAACTGAACCTTCGATTTCTCATTTTGAACTCCATACGACATAGCAATTCTCAATTAATGAATAGGTGATAAGAGCTTATGGTCCATTCTCTATCTACCCTTAACTTAACCCTATGCCGTAACATAATTTCTCTACATTTATTTCAGTTGTAAGAAAATCCTAATCAATTGTTTTGTTATTTAACGCGTTAAACGAAATGGATTTTTTAAAACAACAATGAAAATTAAATTGGGTTAGGTTGCGATAATGTGTAATTTTCAATATCCTGTTTGGCCACAATAAATATTGTTATTTAACTTTTATATTATAAAATGACAACATAAAAAATTGCTATGTGGATTTACTTTTATGTTATTAAACTAGGTTTCTTAACATAATCTATTTCTAGCAACATACTTATTATCTATGTCCCGTTGTTGTGAGATCATTGACATGCAATGCAGCTCGTAGAACGATGTGTTAGCCAAGTACAGCTTTCATCAATAACAACTCCACAGCTCCGTTACTTCTATGAAAATTCATTCTTTGTGCTTAAATGTTTTTCTAAATTATAGCTTTATTTTATACGGACCGTTATTTTTGTCATAGTCTTCCATATTGCGCCACGTACCTACAATAGTGAGTACAACATCCTTGGATTGTTTGAGAATCCGATATGCGACCAGATAACAGTGGTCCCGTTAGTCCGTCTGGCTTTACAATGCGGCTTAGCGGCTTCGGCACGCATATTACACCCGTATTGACAGAGAACAACAAAAATCGCGGGTGCACCGGACGGGAGGCGGTGCTGTGTTCGGAACAGGTTTGTCGCTTCGGGAGTTGCATGCGCTCGCATCTCTGGCAGCTGTCATCGGCGATACGATTCATCAAAAGTGTTGAGCCATAGTGATGATGATTAGAGATCTTATGTCTAAGAAGCATTATGAGCAGCTTATTTGATTTGATTAAAGCTGGGCCACAATTTTATGTTTTGCTACCTTACATCAAGACTGAATTGAGCACATCATTGAATATTGTATGTGTATGAAATCCTTAATAGGTACCCTGGTACGTTTGCAAACCTATGCGCTTTGGTAGTTTAAATTAATCAAGATTTTTAGATTTGTAATATCGAATACAGTTCAAAGTCGCAGTTATGTTTTATTCGATTATATTAAAAAAAAACACATATAATTACTTTTTTATTGATTACATTTTTCGTTTATACGAAAAAGCGTTTAATACTTGTTTCTTAATAAAAGCGAAAGTGTTTGTAAAGCAATTACAATTTATCTCATATTTGTTATATTCATGCATTGTTATTTTCGACAGTTGTATGGCACATGAGAACACAAAAGTATTCAAATTAAGTAGGTATGTTTTAATTACTGGATGTGCGAAACAGGTTTTTCGTCTAACAGGTATTTGTGAGTCTAATGAAATAATGATCGTTTCATTTATTACCTATGTGTTAAAACTTCTAGCTACTTTTGAATACAATGGAATCATCAAGCAATGGCTTAAATTAAAATATGATTCCAATATTTCACTTTTGTACCCTACTACGTTTAGATCTGTTGTACACGAGATATACGAGTTGTTGTTGTAAATTAGATACTAGCTGTATCCTAAGGCTTTACCGGCTTATTTAACATCAACGTGGTCATTTTATATTCCCTGTCAACATTATTTAAATAATTATCGCAAGAACGTTACGTTACGTTACGCGCGGCCCACTGTATTATGAAAGTGAGTGAGAAATAGGCATGATGAAAGAGATGCAGAGGTGAGAACTGGAGTTTCCCAGTCCGGTAGTTCAGTTTTTGCTTCCTTTTTATTTCATATTTAGCATTTTACAGATTCCGAATCGTATCTGGCTGGAAACTATTTTATAAATGTTCTAAACATAATTTTTTTAAATTTAGTTTAGAACTATCATTGAAATTAAAAATTCTCAATATTAGTTTTATACATACTATTTGTAGTAGAGTACTAGCTATTGCCTAGGCAATCCCATTATCTTTTATGCCCGAAAATATTTTAAGAAATCCCTTTTTAGTGTTCATTTATACAGGAGAAATAGAAATCATTAGCATATTGGTTTACCACTGAAACTGAAGAAATTTCCAAAAGAGACATAAGTCGTATAACAACAAAATGTTGTGACCTTTCTATACTAATTTGACGCCTAGGTTGGTGCTGTTTTAGTATTGTTTCTTTGGAAAAATGTTTAGTTTCACCGGTAGAACATTTTCTTAAATGATTCAAAATTCATCCTGAATAAAAACGTCTGTGTAAAATCAAATGACTCGAAAATTTAACGGTTAAGTTTCTACTGCCCTCCTGAATGCGTCCATACAAGGCCTTTATCTCCTATGTTGGGAACCTTCGGTTAAGACAAATCGCTGTGTCGTCTCTAAAGTGATAGTTTTAAATTTATAGCTTAATGAAACTGAACGGTGTGGACTGCCGTTCGGTGAGCGTGGACTGTAGGGGCGTTGGTTCAGGCTGGAGTGAAACACAGGGATTACTATTCTGAAGCCTCCGGTACCGTCTGAAGAGAGTATTTTTTCTTCTTGTCCTATTTCTTCTCGAGTGTAGTGCGTCGCTGCCCGGAAGCGAATGCCGCTCGACGAGAGGCGGCCTATCTTTATACCCGCCCGCTCGCACGATAACGTTTTCAACTCGCGATAGCGATCTGTGCGAGCGGGACGGGGCGAAAATGAACGAGACGCGTGTCTCTTCAGATCGGTACTCTATAGCGTCTATTTATTTATTTTATTTCAATTTACAATGTCTTAATTCTATTTATTATTACAATTTCTATTCGTAGGTAATAACGACAACACGCAAAGGAATACTTTATTTAACTTACACTATCTTAAATCTATGTAAATCTATATAAAATAACAGAATACAGAAACGATTAACTAGGGACTTAACAACTATAAATTACGATATATACAAATAATGTCGCGAACAGAAACTATTCTATAGTATGGTCCATTAGGAATTGAATATAAAGGCAGTTTTGACGCGAATCTACTAATAGTTTTTATCGGTTCTTAGAATAAGTTTCTTTGTGACATCAAATTGAAATATTAGTTTTAGAGAATGATGCTTCAAAATTGATTTCATTTTATGCGTTAGCCAGTATTGGAATTTGTATATTTACGTGGCGTGTACATGTTTGTTAGGTGTCAGCTGCGCAGCACATGCAGGTGAGCGGCGCGGGGGGCGGCGGCGGGCACGTGTCGGTGGCAGCGCAGCAGGGCATGTATGCTAGCTTCCAGCACCAGGGGACGCCCTCGCCGCAACATCATCAAGGTAAACATCGGTAGCGCACCACACTGTGCTAAGTAGGCATTTAGTCAGGGCACGATATCCGCATTCGTACACGTAGATGAATATTTTATTCTTGCAGTATTTGCATTTAGGTTAATTTATTTTAAATTATATAAATCAGGTATATGTATTCCCTTTAAGATGGTCATTGTACCAAATTTTTATACCTTTGTATTAAATTTTAAAATGCAACATAATATGTTCTATGATGTCCTTGATAGTTCATAATAAAGATCATCACTAATCGAAGAGGCAGGCTGTCACCTTGTTTGCTTTATATACATATATTAACATCAGTTACCTTTACTAAATACGTAAAAGAATGTAGTACCTTAATCGAAATTTCGTGACGTGTTTGTAGGATTACACAATTTAAAAACAATTATAATTCCACAAATACAGGTTTTAATATGTGGGTATAATATTATGTAAGTTTCTCTAAGATTGGATTATAAGAGTTGCAATGAATTGCGAAACGCCACTGAGGTAATCGATAAGTAAATCTTATCGTCGCAAATAAACAAAAATTATACAATACGTGAAATATACCATATTTCACTTATGAATGTAAAACATAAAAATAAACTATTACAAATCGGATGTTTGTCGCAACATTGTTGTATCTACGATGCTTTTTCTAGGAATGTTTTCATTAGGTATAAACATATATTATAATAATAGCAAAAAATTTTTTTTAATAGTATAAATAAATGTTGATAGAGATGAATATAGTATTAATATAGGTGTCTATGTATACGATATATCTAATTTGTGGCAAATATATTATCGTTTATATTTGGTCTGTAATTAATTGTATGCTTAATACTAATGTTGCAATTTCTGTTTTAGTAGGAATCGGACTAATGGAGTGTGGTAGATACACACTCCATTAGTCCATATATATAATTAGGTATATAAAATGTAATGAAAAGGGAAATTAAAATAATAATTGGAATCTAGTGACAATATTAATGAAACGTCATTCTCAAAGGGTCATATCATGGGACTCTCTCTCATAGGAGGAGAACATTAATCTACTATTACTATGCAGGCCAGATAGCATGCTATTTGGTTTTATTACAAATTTTCCTCCTCTTTATGTATTTATTCCCTTTTTTCTATCTTACAACATCCTGGAAAGGAAAAAAACTATTGACATTGCATCTTTATCTATCACCGCATAGGTCACTATTTTACATAAGCTGTAGCTGTATATGCTATAATTGAAAAGTAACATACACGACAAAAGACAAGGTTCCTGTGAAGAGATCAAAATATAGTTGATTATTTTCATATTTTGCAGGTAGCGGGTGTGAATCGTACTCAATGTCACAGTCACAGAGTATAAACTTTTCCCAAGGAATGCGTACTCGGCCAGCGGGGACCGCGCAACAGCCCACCGCGCCCGGCCCAGGCCCGCCGCAACCACTTGGTAATCCATCATTATGTTGTATTAGAACAGATAGGGGATTTTTAGCGCAGAGGATAAAATTCTTGTCCTGCCACGGAGTCATGCACGTTTTGTAGAGGCATCTTTGTTCTATTTAAGTTAAAATATACGCCGTAAATTGCTCCTCGTCTGTGCGTATTTTACGCTTTTTCCCATGAAGTTACTTTATTGTCATTTCAGTCAACATTAAATGTGTAAAATATTTTTTGAAATAGCAAAAACTATTGAATAATACAACAGATGATACATAGTGTAGGTATATATATATGAAAATAATAATTGTTTTTACATTAATTGTAGGCGTAGCAGCGGCGGGTTTATCTCGTGAACAACAAGCGAAGATGCTTCAACAACAGCAACAGCAAATGCTACGAGCTCAACAACAGCAGATGCGACCGCCGCCGCCTGAGTACAAGGCCCGGTTTGTGGGCGGCGCCGCGGGCGGTTCGGTGGGCGGTGTGGGCGCTGTGGGGGTCGGCGTGGGTCCCAGACGAGCCGCCGCCGCCGCGCCGCGACCCTTCCCGCCACACGCGCGCCAGTACTCGCCCGAGTGGCGTCACGTCCTTATGCAGCAACAAGCCGCAGCCCGGCAGCAATTTCCTCATCATCACCAAGGTACCTTGGTGTACTACTGTACAATAATTATACATGATTCAAGTCTTATCCTCACTGGCAACCAAATCCTGGCAAACGATTCTATTTCATCATCAACATTTCTCTGGTAGAATGAATCAATCTATTTATCAGCTATTCATATTATTTCGGCTTTTCATTGTCCAATGCTGAATGTAGGGTTTTTTTCCATAAATACCATAAAGAATAACTCTAGGGCATCTCTAGGATGATACATAATAGTTCTGTCATAATTCAAAAGTTAATAATCATGTTACAATTTGCTATAAGTATCATACAAATTATGTTAAAAAGATATGTTACTGGAAATCGACAATCAACAAATAAAACCGGAAATACTGAAACTGATAAAAAAATCACATCTAACTAATGCGCCGTTCAGTGTGTTCCTTTTTTTATTCCAAATGTTTAAATAAATAATATTTATACTAAATACCTACCTTATAATTATGATTGACTATCAAAGATGATTACAAACTTTAGTGTAATAAGATTATAATGGAGGATAATTTAGATACATTTTCTCATATAGGTTTCGGTATGGGCGCCATGGGTGGTGGTGGGATGACGCAGCAACAACAAATGCAGTTACAGCAAGTTCGTTTACAACAGCAGCAATTGATGCAACATCAACAACAGAGGTGAGGAATATTATAGAATTTTACTGAGGAAAGTCGATTTATGTATCTTATAGTCTGGAAGTTTTTCAAGGCTAGAAGTGAACGGGCTTTGAGTTTGTGTGCACCATCTTAGTTCACGTCAGTATTTAACATAAGGTGAGATTGTGGTCAAATCAGCTCGAATTTCATGACAAAAAAAAATGCTTTGCCGTTTTTATCAACTCGCAGTCTCTTAATTAATTACATATATATTTTAATGACTTACGTAAATATTTTTATTTTTTGCAGGACTTCCAGTCAACAGCAGTCTCCAATGTCACATTTAATTATGCAACAAAATCAAATGATGAATGTTCAAGGACAGGTAAGTTATCTTCTTCAATCGATACTATTACTTTTTATAATGTGAATGCAAAAATATAAAAAAAAAGATGAACTAAAATGGCCCTAGGTTCATCGTGTATTAATTATGAATTAATTTAGAATATTAATGTGTTGTTTATTTCACAGATGCCAAATATCAATATGAGTCAATCGCAGAACATGTCAATGCAACAGGGCGGTATCACAGGCATGGGGAATACACATCAAAGCAGCCCCATGCAAAATGGGCCTATGCAGGGACAGGCCGGACCAATGCACACGCAAAGCAGTCCTATGCAACAACAGAACTCCATGATACCACAGAATGGACCCATGCAGACCCAGAATGGTCAGCACTCATTCCCTTCCCTCCATAATACGTCTTCCTTTACGGGACAAACTGCCGAATTCAACTTGGACTTCCTTGACAACATGCCTTCCACGGACGCCAGCAACCTCACCGCACAGGAATTACTGAATTCCCTTGATAATTCCTTTTTGAATGGCATACTTTAAATATGTTAGAAGTGAAAAAAAAATCTAATAATTTGATCTATTTATAGTCAATTCGTATTAGGTATCCTTTTGGATATGTTTATATTCTGAAAAGATTTAAAACATTCAAAAAGAACACGACCAATCTATAACAAGTATGACCAAAGTTTTCAAACAGGAATTTAACATCAGAGTTTAATGTGGGTTAAAGATATTATGTGTTAAGCTAAATAAACTTCCGACGTCTTTTAGCACTGTCGAATACATTGTTTTATAGAATATTTATTGTGAAAATATCCATTTCATAGTATTTATACTTACGATTGTTAATATTTCTTTTGTAAATATTTTATTGTAATTTTAAGACGTTTGTTTAATATAATGATATCGTAACATCAGAACAGTCAAGAGTATTCCCACGCGATTGAAATGGAATATTTCAATATGCCGACAGTAGGTTAATGCATTTTTATTACAGATATTACGGTAGTGGTAAGAAGTGAAGCACAAACAACATTATAATCCACTATTTTAATAATATTTTATTCACAAACAGTTTAATTTTACACAATATGGTGTAGCTATTGGGGGCAATAGTTTAATATAATATAAAAATGAGTTACTTATTATTTATTTCTTTCCTCTGGCCGTCCTTTAATATTTTATGTGTTAACTTTCAGTAAAAAACATAAAGTTACATATAAAATTTACTTTCCGCCTGGCAGCGGCCAATTTTTTTATTATTACATTATTCTATTATAGTGCAAATATAAATTTTATGATTTATTGTATTATCATTCCTGTACCTAAGATAAATAGTAGATTATACTGTGATGTCGGTCTCAATGGTCAATAGGTTAAATAGAATCAATTATTAAAATAGATTATTGTTATTGTTAAGGATCTCATGTATCACTTAGGATGAGGTTTCGAAGATTCTGGAATTGTAGGACGTTGGTTTTTTATTTCATCAACGAATTATGGTTTTAATGCCAATGTTTATTATCTACATTATACAGATATTTTATTGTAATTGTGGACTTTTTGACAATGATGTATTATGTTGTGAGACACCTTAGAGATTCCTTTACAATATAATTCAAAATAAAGACAGTCAATTATAATAATTATATTATAGTCATGTGATACAATATATTGTTTATTTCGGACTTAACCATGATATGTTATTATAAACAAATCAAGGCAACATAAAATTACGTGGCAGCTGAAATTTGTCAATGTTATAAAACTAAAAGTGAGTATACAAAATGATAAATTTGCCAATTTTTCACTGATTATAACGTTATTATTATTTATTACCTGTCTTTTATGTTGTTTTGAAAAAAATCCATCTTATTGAATTGTAAAGGAAACTTTTGAGAAATTTAATTTTAATTATATGAAGAAAAAAGTTAAAATGTAAATAAAATATAGGACACGATTCTGATGCCATGTCTACTCAGACGGGGGACGGTGTTTGAGGGTACTTTTAATATTCGTTGTAATGGAACTGTTGAGTCGCATGCTCGTTTGCCCCCTGTGTTGTAAAAAAAATTGTTTAAATAACATTCATATCACACACGAGGTACTAGAAATTCTCTATTGTAAAAAAAAAAAAACTAATGAAAAGCACCCCAAGAACTGTCCCTTGTCTGAACAGTCCATTAAATATCCAATTATATACCGCGCTTTATAGCGTAGTTCGGGTGACAACTGAGATTTTGGTAGTTTTCTAGCAAAAGAAAAAAATATTCGTGAAATTTTTAGAGTAGAATTAGAGGAGAGTAGTTTAACTATAGCCATTTAGGGGACTCTATTGTCTATTTCGATTAACATTGAGGACGACTGTTACGTCACTAGGGTCATCTTTTTTAGAATTTAATATTATGTTTGGGTAGTCTGGAAGTTTAAAATTATGTTTTGAAATAGTTTAAAATTTCGTAATTTTAGAAGTTGTTATGTATATTTTTTCATGCTTGGCATATTATTTTAGTAAAAAAATGTTTTTTTATTACATTAATAAAGTAAAAATTTATTTTTTTTATTAATGTAAAAAAAAATTAAACCTTATTTTTAATTACCTTTTTAAAAATATTATTGTTTGTGTTACGAAAAATTTATTAGAATACTTATGCCAAGTATAAAAAAAAATTACCCACTATACTTTTTTAAGTAAAAAAATATAATAAACTATCAAATAATGACCTAATTGGTCATATTCATACATAAAAATTAATTTCTAATAATCGCATAGTCGGACATTCATTCGATGCGGTACATTCGATATGTAATGTCATTGACCGATTGCCGACAGGGCGTGCACGCAACGAGCGAGAGCCCCATCCATGTGTCCTTAGTTTCCAGAGATATTATAACAGCGTACACGTTACGTTGCGCCCATACTGATTCGACACATATGAGCTGCACTTGGTATCCGCTATATGAAGATAAACTACTCTTCTTTACTCTGCTAGAAGTCAATATAATTATGGATTCTTGCTCACGATCAAATGTTTTGTTGAGTCCTTAAGTTACGTTTTAGTATTTTTTTCTCATATAAGAACCTATCTGTCACCCACTTTATGTTATAATGCGCAGAATATAGTATCGGATCTCTAAACATAACCAATATCTTATTGAATGGCTCAGAATCGTCGTAATGAAATGGGATTCCACTTTCCTGAAAATCAGATAAAAACCAATTGTGAACGAATGTAACATTCCAGAGCCATTGTTAACAATGTTTTAACTTTAGGACCAATTTTTGATCATTCTTTTGAAATAATATTGCATATTGAAATTTGCAGTTTTATTTACTTAATATTTTACACATATATTTTATTTACTTTATATTTTACAAAACGAAAAACTAAACATAAATAAAATCTTTAGTAAAATCTAAATTTTATTAAAATTTTTACTGTGCAGTGTGCAATTAATCCTAAAGAGATGAATATAGACAAATATCTTGCAACGGTTCTAAACATGTCAGATGTTCAAAATTTAATATTTGGAATCATTATTTTTTTAATATAAGCTATAGACGACAAAGTCTGTTACTTTTTACGATTTATGGATGCCAATATTTATTTTAAATCATCATGTGGCTTATAAGATTCTTATAATTGAGTAGATTTTAATGTACAATGTCTTTGTATATTAATATTTTTAAAATGCTTAAACTACACCATGCATTAAATATCTGGATATTCATATAAATTCGAAAAACATTCCCATTTTTCCTTCAGCATTAATTTAATGAGATTTCAAACATAAACTTATTTTTGAACACATTGACAAATAATAACGGAGTAAATACTTTAGAGAACAATTAAATATAACAACTAAGCAGTCTTTGAGTATAATAACTTTCTTCGACGATGAAAATGTTCAATCAAATTATAGCGAACATTTCATTATGCGACCAGTTTATTACAGTCTGGGTTTCATAAAAAGCTTTATTCCCAGCCTTTATACAAACCAAAGATCATAACTATAATTGTTTTAAAACTTAATTTGATATGGCACATCAGTTTTTTTTGTAAGTAATAGATTCTTCTAAGAATAGTATGATGAGGTAAGATTTTTATCATTTATGATATACTTATCACGATTTTTACCACATAATTGAGTCTGCTTGATGTTTGTATAAATAGTCTGAGAATTTTTCCAGTTTCCTCTCTAAAGAATTTATCTCCGCTGCTAATTCTCATACCATCTCATTGGGCTTGTTATGGAAGATCCTTGGGTTTCTTACGCGTGGGCTATAGAAGTTGTTTGGCTGGATATACTTTGCCGTTATGGGTTCTTCGTGCAAACTGCCCATTTTGCTTTCGTAAATATTTTCATTTCTCTTGTTGTCCATAGATTTCATTACAAATGAACGAATATTTTGTCTCCGTTTCCTAAGGCGGATACATGAGAATACTGTGCTTAGTAATATACCGAGTTTGAAGACAGCTACTACAAAAAGGCCCAGCATGAAAATAAGATATTGTTCCTGATACCACTCTTCAAGTCTATCGAGACACCCCTGAAAACATAATTTTAATGGTGGATTAGTAATACATAATTTTAAATTATCGATTTTTTCATATACAACATCATATTTGCATTTGTGTATGTGTACTTTGAAGTCAAATAGACATCCGCCCTTATTTAAATAGAGACAGGTATGTTGCTAGTAAGAACAGGCGCCTAACGTGAAAATAAATAATTTATTTACTTATTTTTAAAAGTTACATCAACAGTGTAAATACAGACATTAATTTTAATTGATATACAGGTCTTGCATCTTGCATTTATACCAATTACAGATATACACAACAATTTCTTAAGTCATCGATTACATATTAACAAAACTGACACCAACAATATATTATTAGATGGACATTTTAGTCAGAGTTGTCTGTTCCGCCTTTATCTACTACTAAGCAGCTAAGCAGTTTAAGGAATACATAAGTTATGATAGTGAAATTATTATTATTTATGAGTAGTGACTGTGTCTTAAATAAAATCTTGTCACAATGATTCACATCACGCAAACGTGCACAACATGTAATGGCCACTTATTATCAGGAGACCTTATGTTAAATTGTTACCCTCGTAAGCAATTAAATATACATACCGGAAGATACCTAAATTGTGGATTGGGTTGTATTTCTTGACAGCGTGACTGGTTCACCGGTGCTGGGTTAAGATAAGAGACACTGTTTTCGTACTGCACGCAGCAAGTGAGCGGTACCGACATGCCGCGAGGGCCCAACCGTCGCAGTTGCCAGACTGACATGTCGTAGTTACGGGCACTAGTCATGCCGCAACATCCCAACTGGAACAAAAGTCGATTTGGAATTATTGAACAATAGCTTTTTCTCGTGGATACTGGAAATTTCCGTTAAATATGACTGCAATCCCAATAAGAGACCTGTCGACTTTTGTCTGTCAAAAAATACATTTTAAATTTTTGTGTTCGTCATTTATTTATGACGGCGTGTGTAATACTCGACTTACCTTCGAATAGTTTTTTGAGCATTTTTATTTAGCATTATATTTAGCATTTTTTTAAAATACCATTAAGGTGCATTTGTCCGCCTGATAGTAACTGGTTACTTGAGCCTGCAGTATTAGGAGAATGTTGCTATCTCTGAAGAAACGCTGTTATCCCTTTTTTAAGCAACCTCATGCTGTAGTATCATCACAGTTCGTAGAAAATTATAAGAACATTATGTATATTATATGATATATATGTACACAATTTTAACTAATAACTTTTTTTAAATAGAAATATACTATTATAATTAGGTACGAGTAACATACTTCTGTTTGGGCGAGGTCAACGGCGGCCGTGAAGTGTTCGTAGTCGGGCAGTGCATAGTACGACTGTAACGCGCCCACAGCGCCGCCTCGGCTGCTCTGGAGTCCCAGGCAGCGCGGCCAGATTGCCACTAGGACTCCACTAGCGCACTCGCATAACAATAATGTTAACACTATTAGGAAGTACTGAAAAAAAAAAAACAAATATACTAATATATCTCAATACAAAAATACAAGGGAAAGATGTAATATTATAGCGAGCATTCAAATTATTAAAAACTAGCTGTTTCCTGCGACTTTGCTTGCGTGTCATCAGTTCATTCAAAAACCATTTAGCCGTTTGAGCGTGTAGTCAGCAATTTGTCTACTACTATTGTTGTAGTAAACGTAACACCCGATTTATCAATGTCTACCAGCATAATTAAGAGATAATGAATTATGGTAAAAAATAAATCAACTATATAAAATAGCAAATTTTTAACCTTTTTTTATATAAACGAGTATAATACTAATAGGTATGTATATTAGAACTATATTAGGTATTTTTGAAATATTTATCCATTTTTACAATGACTTCTTTCTCCATTGCACGCTATATTACTCGAAATGAAAGATATAAATTTTCTTAATGGCCTCTACCCAAAAGGTGTATGGAAGAGATTGCGTTGTAATAAGATCACCTTTTGCTTTACTTCACCTTAATAATTTACTAACTTCTTAGTAACTGATGCAATAAAATTAAATAATTTGATTTTAAACAAGCTTTTTGATCGCTACTTCGTACGTGTTGTTATCAAGGTAGGAAATCAATTAGATAGACCAATTCTAGATGGCCTATCAAGGTAAAACATACATACAACTGTTTTTCTTAAATCTTCCATGTACAGATATTATCGTATCAACCTTTAACTGTCCATTGCTAAACATAAGTCCTCCCCTTATGGGGGTTTGCCAGTAGTTGTCATGCTTGGCAGGCGGATTGGCAACCGCAGTGAGGCTTTAAAGACTGTTTAAGAGGGATGTTGATGCCTAGCCCTCACCCTTCCTTATTCGCCTCTTACGACATCCACGGGAAAGGAAGGGGTGGCCTATTCTATGTTGGGAGTACATGGCTATGTACGGATATTGTTCAATTACAATTTTATTGTTTAGTTTAGTTTATATGCTTACCAGTGTTAGTATGATGTATCCCGGTAAATAAGTAGCCCAACATCCCAAAGCAGCGGTCGCACATACGATGAGCCCGGCTGCTAAAAGGCCCAAAGCTAGGTAATAGAAGGGTGGCTGATCAAAGTCGCCCTCGGGTGTTGCCAACAAACGGGAGAGAAGAATCCTCTGTGAGTCACATAGCAGCAGAAATCCGCATATCACTTCAGCAAAACCGCATGCCTATAAGTATTGTTGTGTACACAGTAAGGAAACAGCGTTAGAAAATTATCTACGTATGTTGGAATGGAAACAAAAGGAACTTTTCAAAGGAGAGTTGGTCAAGGAGGGTAGTATTTTGATTCAACCTATCTACAACAGTACTATCTATATCTGTCAGTATTCATATCCATGCCAGTCGTTATGCAGGCGTTAATGGGACTATGGACATGAGTACAGCTGTGGTGGGGGAAGGGATAGTTAGTAATGAGGATAAAACAGCTCCATTGCTAGCTTAGCAGGTCCAACTCTACGCGGTTTCCCTGGAAACTATCATGGTTAATTCTTATGGAATTAATCACGTTGGGCTAATTGATCTGCTTTCGTCGGGGACAAAAAGGGATTGTCAGTAATGAGCACTAGTAACCCCATTGCAAACATTAAACTGTATTAGGTCTACTTCTTGCGGTTTCCCCTGGAAACTGGATTGTTGAATTTGTTACGATGGGCCAACTGTTTCACCTTCACCTATTATCTCTCACAGGTGCCCCGTCAGCGTATACAAATAGTGCAGGCGGAGGTAATCCATTATCACTCATTAAAAAAATGGCTACAGCTGTGATTAGCGTAGCGAGTTATTATTTAATACCACAAGTCGGGCCGCATGCATCTCATACTTTTATTAAAAAAAAAAAAAATTTAAAATATCAAATAATATATACTTATCATCTGTAACTATAAACAGATATCACTATTCACTGACACAGAATGCACCATGAAACAAAAACTTTGTGATACAAATCGACCGGTGTTATTTCAAATAGCAATAATGTATGATGTACTTACGAAAAATATGGTATTGAAAAATCCAAAAAGAGCTTTGGCGCTCGCAAAATTGGTACACTTCATTGTCGACAATACAAATAGTCTATGTAATATTGCGTCACGTGTGCAATGTTTGGATTTTTATTGAAAAATGTGTATAAACAACAACGCGGAAAGCGGCGTGACCACCACGCGACTATTGCAAGCACATGAATATGCCATCGTACACTGAATAGATTCGCCGGTTTTGGGGAGATGCGCTCCGTTGAGCAGGTGGGGTGACTAATAATTAAGGCAGTTTTGTTTAAAATTAATGCATGAGTTACTCCAACATACGAACGTGTGAATGTGGGAGATCGGTTTTATTTCGACCGTCAACTATATAATAAATAAGTACTTAAGAATAGCTACCTCGTAATTATTACAAACTCACGTAGGAAGAGAAATATTAGAAAATTACTATACAATTTTAGATGGAATATTTATTCAATAACAATTTAATATAATATGTATTACTTATACATATAAATAGGTATATACACCTACTTAATATAGATTTATAACATTTAAAAATCAATATCTTTTTTCTTGAATCCTCCGCAAGTGAGTGGTGTTGCAGTAATGTCATCTTGTTCTCTTTCACTTGTTTCTTGTAGTTCTGTACAAAGACAATTGAAATTTTTAATAAACTTTTCATAAATTATAAAAGTACAATTTTAAATTTTCATATATGTAAGCAAATTACTATTACTTATTTTATTAAGCTATCCCGATACTGTCCCTGTTTGTCCTAAAGAAATTAGGAGTAAAAATATAAATAGATTGTAAAGCTTATCTTTTCTTCCATTTATCGCAATCTTTATCATATTTATTCTATTTCTCAAATTATCTATTTTAAGAAGGTCGGTTTATATTGTCCCGGGATAGTTTTAGAACCCTCTGAACACTATTGCCACTATCGAGTATAGATTACTGTATATACTTTCTTACCTGGAGGCAAATGCAACTTTTCTATGATGAACTTTTTTCTTTTCAGTTTGAATGCGAGATCCAGACTCGGCGGTATAAAAGGCACTAATGAGAAGGGTGTTGATAATTTTGTAATATGAAATAGGCCATGGTAATCCTTATAAACAGGGTTTGTCTCACGACTTGATCCAGCAAAAGATTCAATTTTCACCGCATTGTCCACCGAATAAATTATTCTTTTCATTACATGTTCATCCTGAGGAAATAAAATTAGTACTTGAAAGATATGTATATTACCAATAAAATTAATCAATCATCAGCCTACTGTTCTCGTAGCTTAGCCCTTATGAATTTCATTAATAGATACAATAATAAACTCGTAAATAAAATAGATGCCAAGCCAAAGCGTGGCAACTATTGACAAAACCCCCAAGAGGGGGAAAGGGATTATTAGTAATGGAGAGGTTAGTCCCCATTGCTATCAATATACCCTATCAGGTCATTCCACGCGGTTCCTCCTGAAAACCATCGTGACTAATTTATCGTTGAATTCGTCACGATAGGCTGACCTGCCTTTTCATCTTCACCAATCATCCCTTACTGGTGCCCTGCCAGTGTATACCAACAACATAGGCAGGGTCATCATTCCATTGTCATCCATTAGGCCTCCAAGGGGAGGCCATATTCAGCAGTGGACAGTTAAGGGCTAACGGGCTAAGTTAAGTATTCATGGAATATATTGTAAAAAATCCATATCGATTACGTATATCAGATAATATTCTACCCATAAATAGCTAAATATTTTCCCCAATACATAAATTAATAGGTAAATAACAAATATTTAAACTTCCAGATTACTATGCGTGTATTTAGCCGTCATGTTGGTACGGGAGGCTAAAAATGTTTTCGTCGTTTTTTGACATCTTTTTATTGAGAAAAACTTATTTACTGGATGAATATGATGAAACAAAATGACCTTTTCATTAAAAAAATAATATTACTACTAGTAATTTATTTGACATATTTAGGTGATTCTTGTTGACCCTCACGATAAACTACACACATCAATTCTAAATTCTAAACATACTATGTTCTAAAAACTTGTTTTAAACGAGGCACTTCGCCACATTCTAACTCGCGCTGGTATATTGTTGAACAAAAACGGAATTATTATAAGAATATAGTTATGTTTAAATAAATAAACATACAATATTATTATAATTCTATATATGTATTACGGAAATCTTATGAAACTATTTGAACAAACTTACATCAAACAAATGTGAAGGTATCGTTATAAATGCTACAGCATTTGTGTCCCGGAGCATTACTCTAAGGCAGTAGATGAACTTTATCAATTCATGCCCATATCTAATTCCGACTTCACTCTCGTCACAGTCCATTGCCATCCAAATAGGTGATCCCAGAGATTGTATGCCAATTCGAAGCATATTTTTGTTGTTTTTACTGGCACTCTGGTATTCTTCTTGGGATATAGTATTATTTATTTCACTTAACAGGTTGCTAAATAGATTATTCTGGAAACCTAAAATATACAAAGGTAGATTCCAATTTGGTAACTAGTAGCTACAAAAACATCACTTGAAAAGGATAGTACTCCAAAAAACACAGAATATAGAGGTATAGCACCATAGTCTTAAAAAATGTAAAAATGTATGAGATATCATGGGCATCACAGTATATTTTGTTTGTTTATAGGACAGTTACTATTATCTGATAAGCCGTTTAATGTTGGCTATTCTAAATTTCAAAAAATAAAATAAAATGAAACAACTTTTCATAAAAACATGCATCATCTTGAAAATGTTAACATTTTTCAAAATGAATCAATTACATAATTTTTTTGTAAGTAGCGTATACTATATGCATAAATGCAACTTACACGTCTAGTGTATTCAATTTTCTTTATTTTTTGGTAAATAAAAAAAAATTAAAGCGGACATTCACACTTTCAATAGGCAAAGGATATTAGTTCATTGGATTCATATATTAGGATGTTATTTTTCAATCTAAATCGGGTTTAGTTTCAAAATAGTATCAAACAAATTGAACAAAACCATAGACAACAACTTACTGATTTCTGTTGTGAAGCGGTGTTTTTAGAGGTGTTATTTTTTTTAATTTATGCTCATTTTTTAATAATGTCTATATATGCGAATAATGGGAATATTTTTTAACATATATATGTATATATACACACACATTGTGGGGTGCCCAGAGAAGCACTGCTAGTTGTAGCAATACTGTGATGTCTATGTTGTAGATTGTCTGTATATTGATTACAATATTTCTGATTATTCAATATATAATGTAAATGTAATTACCATTTATATTTTGTCCATCAACATTAGGATTACAATATCTGATATTACTATTTGAAATTGTATCAGCATCTATGTGCTTGCTCAGGTCAAAATGATGTCCAAATGTTGTGTTACTGCCGAAAGATGACTCCACTTGACTCAGTCCCTCATATCTCCAAGCTATTTTCATCTTATCTATTCCTTGAGATGCTGCACGTACTTCATCATCTGGGGGTGCTAGGCATGGTTGTGGTAATTCATGGACCTATAAAAGAAATTTACAATAAACTTATGTACATTTAATATCTTTTAAAAAAGAAATTATTATTAAATATCTAACTATATTTTGATAAAATTAAATTTTCAACATAATATCACAGTGTAAGAAGTCTTCATACAGTGATTTATCATCCATAGAAATATGTTCACATGTCACTTTCGTCGGAAGGGTTGTCACATTTATTTTTATCCAATTTTCAATTTGAATATATCTGTTTTTACATATTCAATATGAATATTGTTTGTGAATCACTTTATGTTGCGAATTTAAAAGTTGACACGTTTTTAATTTTTGCAAAGAAAATTTTTAATATAGAAATATTTTATTCAATCTGACAATAAACATAGATTACAAAAATTAAATTAAATGTTTATTATCAATTAAAATCTAATCATCACATCACATTGGCTCAAACATAGTAAAATTTAGCCAAATCTGACCAAATTGAACCATAGTTGGCCAAACTGTACTAAACTCCAAAACACTTAGCCAAACTTCACTGAAGTTAACTGAAATTTACTAATCTTGACTGAACTTGACTGGACGTAATACAAAATGGCCATTATTGATCAGATTAATTAAATTTGGTTTACTTGGTCATATTTGATTAAATTTGGCCTGTTTAATTAAGTTTAGTCAAATTAGGCCAAGTTTAGCCACATTTTGTCCAATCTGACTAAAATTGTTTATATTTTTTTTAATGAGAGATAATGGAATGGTAACTCCATCTGTGCTATCGGTATATGCTGGCAGGACACTAGTGAGGCTTGAAAGATGATGATAAAAGCAGGACTGGTACAGACATGGACATGGACAGGATTCATGACCATGATAAATTCCACAAGAATTAACAGATATAGTCTCCAGGGGGATATGTGGAGGGTAACAATGTAAGATACCCTATCAGGTCGACCTGATATCTTAACTTGCATTAGATAAATATAACTTTATATTGTGATTCTTAACCACTAGACATCCTGGATCCAAAAGTACACAATAATCACAATTCAGTTTATACAAATTAGCAGTGACACTAGTGCATTTTAATAATAATCAAAAGTAATAGTTAGGGGTAATATTAAATGTAAATATTACTTACAATGTCTTTGGGGTTTTCATCAGCAGATGCTATTAATAAATCATGTTTGCATATAACACCTTCAGCAAGGAAATATTTCATAAGAACTCTGCTATAATTACCCAATACATCCTCCTCTGAAAAATATTGATGAAAAATTATAAGTTTCTTACTACAAAGTTAATTTTTAACAATTATTAATAAGTTTATTACTAACCAACTGCAAATATACTGCCTGAAGGCAAACCTCCACCTAAAAAAAAAACAATTATTAACAGTTGTATATTTTACATATTTCTAGAAAATTTGGGGAGGGAAAGGGATTGTTAGTAATGAGGTCTAATAGCCCCATTGTTAGCAATATACCCTCTCAGGTCGACCTCCATGCAGTTCCCCCTGTAAACCATGGTGGATCAACTGATCTGCTTTCATTCTTATGCTGCATTCATTCTCACCTATCATCTTCCACTGGTGCCTCGTCAGTGTATACCGATAGCATGGACGGGGTATTATCCATTTTCACCCATTAAAAAAAAAGAACATTGATTGAAAACAAAATTGTGAAAAAGTCTTTGTTTGTTACTTTTTGGTGCATAAGGGCTTGATCAATCATGAAATTTATATAAATTTTGACTTTTTATAAAAGTGAATCAGGGGTCATCTATTAATGTATAACAGCAGATATAACTTATTAAATAAAATTTTAGACAAGCTCTTAATCTATTTATTGTTCAGATAATGTCATTGTTAACAATTATTAAATATTATAATAGTGAATGTGTTCGTCTGTAAAAGACTTTTACATAAGGTAAAATTATTTTTGTGTTATTGATTAAGTAGCATGTAAAATGTAAAAGTCGTAGGTGTACTTCATTAAATAAATAAATAAAATAATGTATGTAAATGTATTGGTCTTTAATATTGTATTTATTAAGCAGATACATCATTATTATACTTTTATAAATGTGGTTTTTCTAAATTGTACGCAACTGTTCTACTGTACAATAGGTACCTAAGAGTAAAATTCACGTGGTTTCTAGACAAAGAAAGGCTGGCAGTGCCCTAAGATTTATAGTGGCAGAGAATACTTTACCAATAACACAATCTAGTGATGGAATTCCTGTAGAGATGAAAGGTAGGTTATTTTTTAATTTAGTTCCGTTTATACAAACACGGAGGTCATTAACTTTATGAAAACTACTCATTGTGTAAATTGTTTTGTTAATAAATTACTAATTTTATCTTTGCATTGCAGAAATTATTATTTGTATATAAAATACATAAAAAAGAAAACAATTCTATTAAAATTTACAATTGGTCTCAGCATTTAGTTAATATTAACGAAATTGGAAAATAAGTCTATGCAACCATCTAAATGTATCAACAAATTGATACAAAAATAAAGGAATTTTTATAGTGTTACACAGTCGTATTTAAACAATTTATAATATGCTGTTGTCCAAAAATATTGATATCGGTAGGTATCATAAAAGATCAAATTTTTTATGAAGTTTCCATTTGCATGATGAATTGATTGCATATGAATGAACTGATTGCATAGAATTTATATAAACATCTTTTATTCGAAGTGACGTGGCCCATTCAAATAAAAGTTTTTTTTTATAACTGGCAAACGGCTTGTGTTGTCCTTTATGCCACTAACAAGTAGTAAACGAGACGGGATATTAAGGATTTTGTTATTAGTGACAGAATTCGATTTTATTATGAGAAATAAAGGAACTTAAGCAGTCTTTCGACTTAGGCATGAATCGCTTTTGTGCAGTATTGAAATTCTACTTATATTGACTTTTAATTATGCCAAATAAATTGTTTTTGAAAAAAATATTATCATTGTTATAATGATTTATTTACTTATCAATACTATATTTATTATATAAAGAAAAGTCCTGAGAAAAAGGGCTGGAAACGTAAAGATTGACAGTACAGTTTTTCTATTTTATTATTTTTTATATTATAATATATCAAATAAATTGCAATTAGCATCTACTGTTATTATATTTTTGTATATATTGAATAATAGTAGCAGTAAACTACGTAAGTTTTTAATTATATTTATCCTTAATATATGGACTCCTCGAAGGATCTCGGGGCATGGTCTCCGAGGTCGTTCTTCTCGTCGCTTGTCTATGTCTATACATATAATAAAACTGTAGAGATCAAACAAATTTTTTGTTTGCGTGTTTGTCTATTTATACGGGCTAATCTCCAAAACTGTTGGATCGATTGAAATGAAATTTTATGTGGTGGTAATAACAAATAACACGCGATAGGCGACACATATGATTTATGAACTTAAACTTGAGTTGATACATTCGATAACGGTTGATATTAGAAAAACTTTTTAACTCGCACCATAGGTGACACTGTTACATACAAAAAAAAATAAGATATTGCTTTATAATAATATATCTAACATAATAATGACTACACAAAAGTTCGTTGAATAAGAAAATAAAGAATTAAAACAACAAAATCGAATCGTCTAATAGTTAGATTCTAACTAATATGTTGCTCTTCATACTCTTCAACTCTTCATACAAATAACTGAATAGCCAAATATCGTACTATTTAGTCAGCTATTATAATATAAATAGCCGGATAGGTAAGTTTTGAAAATGTTGGCTAGTTTTTCTTCTTTCTTTGCATTTATCTTGATTTTAGGATATTTCTTTATGATAAATAGAGCACGTGTTATTATGAAGATATTTAGGAAAAATTAGATAACGAATTCACCAAAGAAAAATAGTCAAAATTTTATTTAGATATAGAATGACGTCTATCGCAAGTGTAACTAGCCAGTAATAGAAAGGTAACCATAGTTTCATCTACATATGTTGGTATCCCATAAAGTCTACCATATTTTTTCCAAAAACGACATAGGGAAAAGACAGTAATAGTAAAAATATTTATCTCACGCAAATTTAGAAAGAATAAGCATTAAATTTAGAATATCTTTAGAATTTATCAATTACAACGTACATTAAAAGTTAGCACTCTTATATTGATGAAACTAGAAATTAATCTATGCAACCACATAGTAGTATCAATATAAATGAATATAAATGTTGCACAACTATTAAGAATGTACTTCTGTACATTTTTTGTTCATTCATGATATATACACATATTTCAAAAGCGATAGTCATCTGTTATTTATTTTTTTAATTAAAAAAACCTTTAAAGATAGGTATAGCTATTTATAACATTAAATTTTCAAATTCAATGAATTGGTTGCATCGATTTCATATGAATGACTTTTTGTTTGTAGTGACGTCGATCTATCTTTCTTTGTCACTGCTGATATGACACGGTTTTATGTTTTTGTTGGTTTGCCACATTAGTGAATTAGTATTTTAATTTCCAGTATAAACTATTTAATTACGAAGATAATTGAAACGGATATTTGTTTACAATGCAGGGTCCAGCTGTCTTTATGGATATATCGCTTGAGGATCAAGTAAGTTTCTTGAACATAACCTAATATCAAATATTGTGTATTGTGAAACCTACTTACTGTACTATGAAAATTTAAAAATTTACATATAAAAATGGGTAATATGATACCCTTATTATGATTCTTTTTATTTGTTGAAGTAGTATTCTATTTCTTGTATTTGTACATCACCATGTTTCTATCAATAAAAGTACATACATACATGCTCATCTGTTTTCCTAAAAGGTTATTAATACCAATACCTATAATCAGTAACAGGAAAAATTCTCATTAAAAATTTAATATTTTAGGCGCAAGAACTCCGAAAGTATTTTAAAAGCCTAGGAGCTGAGATTTCCGAGGAGAAGTCTCCAAAAGGTATAGAGGATGATTTACACAAGATTGTTGGTGTATGTGATGTATGTTTTAAAGAACCAAATGAATCAGAAATCGAAGCTATTCTCAATAGCATTGTTTCCATAATGGTGTCTGTAAGTATCCTTGTTTACATATATTAATAAATTAATTAAGTTTGTTTAAATATATTAAATAATTTAAAAAATAGTCATGTTGACTTTTATCCAAAAAGTAAGCATTCTCTACTATTTTCATCTTGGTGTATATCTTATATAAGTAAGAATATTTTCTATGTATATATATTTATTTGAGTATCTGAAAATTTTAGTATGTGTATATCCCAATTAATACTAGGAAAGAATGCTTTTAGCATTGGTTCAGCCTTGTACACATATCTTGTACTAAAGAATAAATAAGTAACTAGTTTTTACATGATGGGGTATATTTGTAGACTGGAATAAAAAGTAGCCTAGGCTTACCACCCCAAATATTAAATGTTTACCCAGTTTCATAATAATTGGTTGAGTTATGATACTCCAAGAGGTAACAAATAAACTTACACATGTACCTTAATATAATAAAATTATAACTAGACAATTTCTGTATATATGAAGATACTGAAGAAAAATTGATAAGAAGAGAATTATTAAGAATAAGAATTATTAAAGCTGAAAAATAATTTTTAAAAATTTTGTCTTTCTGTCTGTATGTTTGTTCCATCATCCAGCTAAAATTACTGCATAAAATTTGAGGTGCTTTTAATAGTTATGTTTTTGGGGGTCTTACTTAAATTTTAATACATGTTTTATTTTGATATGCCAGTAACAAAAGGTTTATTTTCTTGGCTTTCTTCCAATTTGTGAAAATATTTCTAAAATATTACATATATTTTGTGCAGGCAAAAACCTAGTTTTTAATATTATTATGGTTGCATGTTTACAGTATTCAAGTATAATAGCTTCTCATTTCTGTGTTTGTAATTATTATTTTTTTATTTCCAGATACCTTTGGAAAGAGGGGAGAATCTTATCTTAGCTTTTAGTCAAAGGCTTACAAAAGCTCCTGGTCCTAAACTAGGAATGGTGTCATTGCAATCGTGAGTTTTAATACATAAACATTTAACTTTATAATAGGATTTTAAAAATCAATAAATAATATAGTTTCAAAGAAAATTAATATATAAATTAGTATGAAATTAAGTAATAAGTGTATTTTTTATTTAATTATACAATAATTACTTAATTGGAATACCTTTATAAAAATAATCTTGAATTTATTTATAACTTCCTGGTAATTATGAAAAAATTAAAGCTAACTTTAAAAAATGTGGAGTACAGACCTATAATACTGACAGCTAGAATACAGAATCAGGCAGGTTTATTCTCTAAAAGAAGAACACTAATATGAAAAATTGTGCATTCAAATAGAGTGGTGCAAATAAAAGGGCACTAAAGAATGTTTCTATGTATTTTATTTTTAAAACTTATATTAATTTTTTTCTAGCTATTTAGCACATTTGTAATAAAACAAAAGTTGGGTGTGAAGTGGAAGAATGATTTTTCTATGTTGTGCTGATGTAATGTTATTATGATTAAAGTCATTACAGTGTAAAGAAGACATATTAATATAGGGTCCAAAATGAGTAAATTAAATAAAGTATATGTGATCGCAGCTTTCATTTTTGAATGTTTTTATCAATAATTCAATTCCTTGAACTATCAACTCAGTAATTGAAAAATTATATATATAATATTTTGCTATAAGATTAAGGTTTCTTCCTTTGGGGTAGGCAGAGACTACAGAACACTCCAGCATCAGTCTTATAATTTTTCTCTTTCTACCTTAATATTCCTACAATATCTTATTACTCATTCCAGGTTGTGGCGTTTGTACAACAATTTGGAGGAAAATTCTCCACTCCGTTACCATGTGTACTACCATGTGATTGAGCTGGCAGCCCGTGTGGGCTCAGTGAGAGAAGTGTTTACAGGAGTTGATCAATTGAGGAAAGAGTTTGCTACCTGCCCACCATCAAATGAACAGATGCAGAAGTTGTACAGATTGCTTCATCAAGTACTAAAAGACCAAAACAGGTTTGTTGCTTTTTGTATATATGTAATTGATTAATTTTGTTTCAATTGTTAATTTCTTAACTATATCTGTAAGCCTAGTTTAGGAGTTTAAATTGTAAAAACTATCTTAATGTTAGTGTTGCATGTGAATAAATTTTTAACTCTAGAAAATAATAATAGAATTGAACATTCCTGATTGAAAAATATGTATGTTTATTAGTAAATTTATCATCATTATAGCAGTAGTTAACTTTTCATTGCTGAACATAAGCCTTCCCCATAAAAGTGAGGTTTTATCAGTAGTACACTTGGCAGGTGGGTTGGTGATTATTGTTAGGCTTTTGTGATGTTTTAAGAGAGATGCTGTTGCCTATCACTCGCCCATTAAGTTCTCTTAGTCATCTCTTATGACACCCACTGGAAAGGAAGGGGTGATCCATTCTATGTTAGGATCATTTTTTTTTTTTTTATACAACTTAGAATGGCAAACAAGCTGACGGCCCACCTCATGGAAAGTGGTAACCGTCGCCTATAAACATAAGCAGTACCATGGACATAACAGAATATACTGTTTCGCCCATGATACCCCCCATGTGTTGCCATTCCTGAGGACTCAGGTGTTATTCCTCTGTACCCAGTAAATTCACGCCATATCCCACCCTTCAAACCGAAACACAGCCATGCAAACACAACTGCTTCACGGTTGAAACACGAATGAGACAGAGGTACCCAAGCAATTGACTTTTGTACAAAGTCTCCCTCTGGTATCATATAGTATCATATAGATCATATAGATCATATAGATCATATAGTATACTACTACTCTTTTTCTTTTTCTCAATGTCCTCTACCCAAAGGTTGTCTGGAAGAGATTGCTTAGCGATAAGGCGGCCTTTTGTATCACTTCTCATTCATATTTACTGTATTTGTTATTTCTATTTTTACTTGGTGCAATAAAGTGTAAATAAATAAATAAAAATAAATATACTTGTAAATGAAATATCTTGAATTTGTTGATTATTTTCTATATATCTATTAAACACAATAATATAAATAGTGTTTATTTCATTCTAGTGAACTAGCAGCAAAGGTGATGATTGAGCTGTTAGGGACATATACTGATGAGAATGCTTCATATGCCAGAGAGGATGCCATTAAGTGTATAGTTACTGCACTTGCTGATCCCAACACATACCTGTTGGACCCTCTGCTATCACTCAAGCCTGTCAGATTTCTTGAGGGAGAGCTTATTCATGATCTTCTTAACATCTTTGTATCGGAAAAATTGTCAAGTTATCAAACCTTTTATAAAAATCATAAGGAATTTGTACATTCACAAGGTATGAAAATATCAGTTTATTTCTTCTATTGCTAAATGTGATGAAATTCATATATTTTAAATGTGATTGAATATCATACATCCACGGAATTGATAATCAGTCCCTATTGATTTGAACAGCACCATGAACACATGGAATACAGAACACTGAGAATAGACTTTGACACCCATGGTACCTTTCATGTGTTGCATTTCTTGAGGACTATGTTGTTATACTGTACCCTGTAATTTCACAGCCATATCCCATTCTTAAAAGCGAAACAGCCATGCAAGCACAGCTGATTCATTGTAGAAATATGAGTTGTGCAAAAGTAGCCAAATAAAAGACTTTTTTAAAAGTTTGTTTCTAGTAATAATGCCTTTTATAATTGTACATTTGATTCCAATTATTTATTTATATATTTTTTTATGTATGCAATACTTTATTATAGTATTTAAAAAATGGCATTAAAGAATACCAGTACTTGAGATAAAGGATAAATAAAATATAATAGTTTGTATACTTTCTAAAAAAGGAACCAAGAATTATCATAAAAGTACTTGAAGCAATGGGAAATAAGGGCATTAGTACTTCATTTCCTATTTATTTGTGAGGAGCTTGGTGTAAATATACAGTTGGATTGAACAACAATTTATATTGCTTTATAAATAATATTTCAGGATTAAATCACGAGCAGAATATTAAAAAAATGAGAATACTGTCCTTTATGCAGATGGCTGAATCAAACCCTGAAATTTCTTTTGATGAAATAATTTCGGAACTTCAAATCGAAGAAAAAGATGTGGAAGCATTTATAATTGAAGGTGAATAAATAAATAGTTTATTAAATTATGATATGAAGTAATAGTTTGCAGTGTTTTTTAAGGTGAACGGTCCTTAAAAAAACACTGCAAAAATTTAAGGACTTTGGTCCACTGAGGATTCAACACCCACAAAATTCAATTTCTGTGGGTACTTGCTACAAACCTGTTTCTGATTTGTTTGGAAATTGCATAATGTGATTCAAGTCAATAAATAATTTTTTGAAAATTTCTACAATAAAAGTAATTTAAGTATGTCTATCATTTGTCTAGTACCCATAATACAAGGTGTGCTTTGTTTTGGACTAAATGCTGGTGTGTAATATGTCCAGTGGCATTAATTGTCATATCATATCAGCCATTATTTGTCCACTGTTGAACATAGGCCTCCTCCATAAAGGGAGTTTTGTTAGTAGATGCTTTACTTGGTAGGCGAGTTAGTAAATGCAGTTTGGCTTTTTAGAGACATTTTAAGAGAGATGCTGCTGCCTCCTCCATTATGTCCCTCATTATGTTACTCGACCATTATGTTCTCTTAGTCTTTTTTACTATATCTACGAAATAGGAAGAGGTGGCCCAGACGGCATTATTTATTATTATTTATTCTATGATACACAGTGTTGAAAACGCGGCTGGTTCGCGCTAGAATGGATCAAGCGGCGCGGACTGTGCGAGTGGCGAGCACGATGCACCGCACGTTCGGTCGCGCGCAGTGGCTGGCGCTGCGCACCGTGCTGCAAGCCTGGCGCGCTAACGTCCAGCAGGCGCACGAGGCCATGAAGTCCGTCGCCACCGCGCAGCTCGAGTACGCCAACCAACAACCGAAAGCCTAGTGCTCCTACTGGCACCATTGAACACTGAACCATCACGTTCGTGTCCGTTGGTATCGTGTAATTTATTAGTCACAAACCGGACTCCATCAACATAGTTGTGACTATATCTATAATAATATACGTGTACTAAAAATTGTGTTTTATTTTATTAATACTGGTCTTTAAACATTTTTCAATTTTAACTAAGTTTTAAATCAATATATGCATAATCTGAAAATAAAATAAAATCGATGTATTGACATAGTCGAAGTACTAAGCATCTGCCTTCTAGACAAGGAATGAATGAATCTATCGAAGAATTGCTTGAGTCAGCGTCTATGAATTGCGTCAATCACACAAACATAATATTGTAGTCGATATATCTATCGAGATTTAACTCGTAGATTGCTCTTGGTAAGTCTGGTTGTTAAATAGAAGTGAACAAGGTTCGATGGCAAATTCAAAAAATAACTGTAGGTTTATTGTACAACTATCTACTACTAACTGAATGTAAAATTACAAAAATCATTTAAAATATTACAACAATTTAAATTTTGTAGCATTTTGTTTTCTTTTTTCATCATTGAAATTCGCTATCATGATTGTATTTAGATTCATAAAAAAAAAGTAGTACCTACCACAGAGTAGTTACGGTCTTATAATTGTGTGGTATTGTAAAAGAACATTTACTGTAAAGATACAGTAGGATTTGTTGAAAGCAGAATTATGAACCAAATCATCCTCTTTCTATCAAATTTCTCTGTTTTGACAGATGTACCGTGTCTATTATATTATTACATGAAATTTATGAGTAATAACAAATTTAGATAGATATGGAATATGAATATGAAAACGGATGTCTAAGAAATATATTCCGTTCATTTGTATGTGTAACACTCACTTTGTTGCTCGGGCTGCAGGTGTATGCATATTTTTGGGGACCGTCACAAGATGTTCTTGAAGGAGATTTTTCCGATATACGATATGTCGTGATGCAACTCACCCAGGGCCTAACTGAGGTAATTACAAATTTTATAAAAGATACAAAGAGCAAATTAATCTGTATGCATTATTATTAAGTTACCTAGATATTTATTTTAAATATCTCTATCGCTATCTTCAAATTCCTCATGGTATAGCAAAAAAGATTCCTGCTTCACCGCCCACATATAACTCGTCTATTCGTCGTATACGGATAATGGGTAAATAAATATAAACACTTGTATCATCTTTTGAAAAAAGTAAACCGATTCAAAAATCTTTTCCTAACCAAAAGGTCGGGAACAAGTCTTTGGGTTTTTCCCGTAAACAGTATTAAAAAGTAAGTAGGTAATGTACTGATGTATTGAAGGTGAATCGTAAGCACGAGCGTCTCCAAGGCGAAATGGAGCAGATATCATCCGCCCTGCCAGCAGTGGCGGCCGCGGCAGATCGAGCCAAGGACGCGTTACAGCCGTCTTTACGTCGTAGTAGTCGAAATAACGTCAATATACAGGACTATGACAGACAGGTAGAGATCTATTTCGAAATGTAAAAAAAGGTATAAAACTAACTCTTGGTTACATACAATCATTTATCTACATTTTTCTTTGAGATAGGTAAAGACTATTTTTAATTTGCCAAGTGCTTATCTTGTATTTGGGTATCTTACTCATGTTTCTGCTGTCAAGCATCTATTACGCTGATAGGTTTCAGTTTAACTGGTGAGATATGGCAGTGACGTCTTGGCTACGAAGGAATAAGACAAAGTGCCACGGCATGAATATCAAGATATTCTGCCCAAGATCGAGTTTATGGCTTATAGAGGACGGTGACCTATTTCATAAGCTTGATTACCGTTGCATATATGTTCTTGTTATATAGTTCGCTATACCTACATATACGCATTACAAGTATATTGTGCAGTAAAGAATAAATAATTTTCAGAGTAAAATACTCTAGTATATGATATTTGTTTCTTTTATCATAAAAAGTCTGCAGGTTCAGATATAGTAATGCACAAGGAATGCCGCGGGCGGCATAGTATATTCGTGATGTCTATGGAGTCGTTCGTGTATATATAGGTGATGGTAATCCTACTTTCCATTAGGTGGACTATCAGATTTTTTGCCATTTCCACTATACCTATATAGAATATAAAAATAAATTCTTCGGGAACGTCATCAATCTTTTCGACCTTACATTGTACTTTTCTATACGGTTTGCTTATAAGTATCGTTGATTATTCTTTTTTTTTAGAATTTATATACTTAGGAGGCCCAAATAACCAATTATTATAATTAAATTGTACTGTCACAAAATTACTACACTTTTTATAAATCACATTTTTTTATCTGTCAAAAAATTATAGATGGTGGATTATGCGCTCGAATCCGCCGGAGCTCGGATTTTAGATACGGGAGATACATTGGAACATGTTATATACGAGTCCCCAGTAAGCTGGGCTCTTCACACTCTTGTAGGCATAGTGTGTAGTGAATGTCTTGGCGCCCGAGCTATACTCCGCCCGGAATCCTTGCCCGGAGAGTGCTGGGCGTTCAAAGGATCTCGAGGTGAAGTTACTATTCGGCTGTTGGGCACTGTACGACTAACAGGGATTAGCGTTGAACATATACCACCTCACATAGCTCCTACAAGGTAAAAAACATTTTATTCCGTTTTATTATTCGCAATTTGTATTATCTACGCGGCTTTACTTACATAAATTACGATAAATTTATTTATTTTTTTTTTAAACTAGAATGGCAAACAAGCAGTCGACCCACCAGATAAAAAGTGGTAACTGTCGCCTATACACATGACATGGATATAACAAAGTATATCTACTGTTTCGTTCAAGATATCCCCTAGCATTGCCATTCCTGTACTTTGTAAATTCACTGTCATATCCCACCCTTCAAACCAAAACAAAGCCATGCAAACACAATTGCGTCATGGTCGAAACACGAATGGGATAGAGGTAGCCAAGCAAACGACTTTTGTACAAAGATTCCCTCTAGTAATATAATAATATGTATAGTAATCTAGGCTATCTGTTGACCAGATTGTATTCAAATTCCTTTAGCCGTTGATTGAGTAAAAACCATCCAAACATCCAAATAAACAACGATAATGTAAAGATATTATAACATAGGATTACCTAAAAAGAGATGTACAATATGAAGTACCAAGAGCAAATTTTTTCGTAATAAAGTAGATATAATGCAGATATTGAGGTATCTACGTAGATAGTTATATATACAATTTATCACCTTTCACAGAATCTTGAATTATCATGGTTTAATTTGTGGGCAACCCGTAGTCTTTGAGTACTAGGAAAAGTATTTAACTTTGAAAAACTCTTAGATAAGGACGTGTTTAGAAAACCAAATTTGCCTTCATTGAGTATCTCAGTAAGGATTGATAGAGTACTTGAAAGAGAGTTTCCTCTTCAGAACGAAACTAATCTATGCCTATACTTATTTATTTAGGTTTAATTAACAAGTGATCTTAAAAATACTTTTTACTGTACTAATGAAAAATCTTTTGATGATCTGATTGATCATTAAATTACAATTTATTTACATTAAAATGAAAAAAATATGTTCTCAACTAGGTACAATTCCCAAATCTAACGTGGCTAGGCTCCTGTCTATACCGCTGTCACTGGGATTATTTTGGTTTATTATAGGTGTTTTCCATTACTGGATTGTTAATCGGAAATTGATATATTGAATTTTGTGTTATCTAGATTCGAACTCACGATAAAGATCGTGAGTTCGAAGCACCTGTAAGACGGGGTAATATATTACTAGGCTACAACCCACTCTTGTATGTACCTAAGTATGTAATAGAGAATCTATTACCTTTTATATTAAAATTAGTTCTAATGTGCTAAGAAAATGGATATTAATCGTAAATATTATTGATTTTTATTTTGAATTATTACGTCCATATCATGTTTATATGTAGGTATAATAGATAATACTTATAATCTACAGAGAAATATCATCTGCTCCGCGCCTATTTCAAATCGAGGGTTTGGAGTTTCGAAAAGATCCGTTTCCACATGATTTCGGCAGTTTCGAGTACGACAAAGAGGGTAAACCAATCCAGTACTTCCAGGTAATGCATCCCTCCCTGAAGGGCTATAGTATAGTGCGATTACGTGTATTGAGTAATTGGGGGCATCCTGTTTACACTTGCGTATATCGTATTAGAGTACACGGAGATTTGGTGACACGCAGTTCCGTAACAGAGGACTATGATTTACGTATTGAAAATGAATAATTTTAACAAGTTTAATTAAAATATACGATGCAATATTAGGAGCAGTGTTTTATTTAAATTTATCTTATTTGGAGTGAGTGTGTTTTACTGCATTTTTAAAGTTTTTAAACATGTTCTGTCAGGTAAATATTGTATATTGTGTAATCGTGTTTCAAAGGCACAATTCCATGCTAGTGGTTAGTGAAGTTTTAATAATAGGTAAGTTACGTGGTTTATCTATATTATTTAAGCAAATTTGAACATACTGTTGTATTAGTCGGCAGAGTAGAGGTAGAGAAACCCCTTCTGCATAAAAAATATTAACGAGCTTTTCGTCCGATATCTATTACTTTTAAGCCATTATTGCCAGGTGCCCGGTTAGTTTATTGTGTTTTTGCACAAAACGAGAGAAAGCCAAAACCAACAGTAGATGTTAATCTGGGTGTCCGGCAGCCGAATGCTATAAAATACTTGCATTGTATAGTGGACAAAGCGACAAAGCACATAAATTAACATGAGCAAAGTGATCATGAGCCCCTGCCGCGTCCGACTTGTATTAATGGGTTGACCGAACTAACCCTGCCTCTTTGTGCACAAACTGTTTGATGCTAGAAATAAATGACTTAGGTATCCATATTATAAAAACTGTTCAAACGCAAGTTATATTTATATGAAAGTTTATCTTAATATAAATAGATACGATTAGGAATCTTGCCTACACTTTTATCAGCTTTTGTTAGAATATACCTGATATTTATAAAAAAAAAAAATTTCTAATCTAATCGTTACTAAAAACGTTAAATCTTTACAGTTTTTACACAATATTAGGTACTTAGTTTTTTAATAGGTGATAAAGAAATGGAAACCTCGCCTGCGCTAACCGTATATACACGCTGGTGGGGTACCAGTGAGAAATGATGAATTCGGATGAAAAGACATGAATTCACCTGGATTTAAATATGATGGTTTCCAGGTGGGACCGCTAAGAAGTTGATCTGACCTGGATGTATTTTTTGCAATTACTAACAACCCCTTCCCCCTATTAAGTACCTAGTAGCACGAGTATGTATAGATGTAAAACATAGGAGGTCAGTCTTCATTGACTGAGAATCCCATTGCGAGCAATATACCCAACCAGGTCGACCTTCTTGCGGTTCTCCCTGGAAATTATCATGGATAATTCCTGATGAATTCATCATGATAGGCTAACTGGTCTGTTTTCATTCTCATCTATCACCCTTCATTGGTGCTTCGCCAGCGTATCCCGTTAGCGCAGGCGGTGTTACCATACCATTTTCACCTATCAAAAAAAAAAAAGACATACTTACGTAATATATAAAGCGATACGTAAAAATAATATGTGTAATACCAAAGTATAGCTAATATTGGATAGAGATTTATTTGATACAGCATGGAATTCCGTTATTCGGCTATAAATCTTGAATTCCTAATAGGAAAATAAAAGCTGCTATTGCACGTATGCAACCCAATAATGTTAATACCTAACATCATAAGACATAAATCATCAGATAGGACATAATTATATATTGTGTTAAGCTCGTTTATACCGAAGTCTAGGCATAGGAACTCAATTTTTTGAAACAATTAAACTATGTTAAATATTTCTTAATGATTATTTAAAAAAAGTGGTTTTATATTCTTTGCGCTTTTAGATTTCAGACTACATTAATAAGAATTAGAATAATTTATTTGCTCGAAATGTGGTACAAAGGTCTTAAATGGTAACTGAGCTACATTTCGCCTTATCTAAAGGCATGCAAATTTTATCTTAGCACATGTTAAGTAAAAATTTATCAATTATGTATGTCCAAATAAATATTCTAAATACAAATTAATTGTTACATTGAATTAGTTAATTATGTTAACATTTAAAAATAGTCGTTATTATAGTTATAAAGCATTAAAATTGTACATGTCATATCATTAATATTATTACATAAAGTGCATTCTTAGTCTAATCTACCATTCAGACTTACAAATAAATTCAGATTTGCAAAAATAATATCAAACTACATGCGCTTATTTTGATATATGTTACTGTAACATTCAAAAATATGATAATAACTGGAAATAAAATCTATAAATACAAACTGGACTACGTGAATAAATGTAGATGGAATGTGCATTTTTTATTGGGTGATAATCGAATGGTTTCCTGTCCGCGCTATCGGTATACGTTGACGGGGCTCCAGTAAGTGATAATAGATGAGAATGAAAGTTGTTCAGTTGACACATAGTGATGAACTCAACAAGAATTAACTACGATGACTTCCAGGGGGAACTACGTGGAGGTCGACCTAATACAGTATATTGCTGGCAATGGGGCTTTCAGACCCCTTTACTAACAGTCCCTTTATTAGGTCTGGTACAGTCAAGCAAGAAGTTGAACTTTATTTTTAACCGACTTTAAAAGGAGGAGGTTCTATATTCCATTGTACCTATAACTTTTTTTATATATGTTCACTGACTTTTACCTCAATTGTGGACCTATTTTTGAAATTCATTTTTAAACACACCAAATACTTACCTTAAGACTTAGGAAAAATCGGGTATAATAGGTGTTCTAGTGTGATTTATTAGTTATCCATATACCAGGTTATATTCACCAGTAGTTTCCTTTATATCACTGACAAGCATAAAATTTAGCTGATTACATTATATTAGTCACAATGCTACCATGTTAACATCATTAAAGTGACATAGGTACCTACATACTGCAATCAAAACTATACTTACACAATGTGATTTTTTCCAAGTCCATCTGAAGGGTCCTTTTCATTTGACAAATAGAAGTCGTAAAGGGTGAAAGCATTTCTCCATGAAATGTATCCTTTTGTACTGCCACCGCCCACGTGTAACTACTCAATATTAATGATGTGATCTTAGTTCAAACGTCTCTCGCAGTCTTTGTCCGACTTGTATTAATGACCAGCATTTTATGTCCAGATTAGTTTGTTCGTGTTATATAATATGTAAAAGTTAACAGCGTAATTAACCGTGAATAAGTTAGCTACGGCACCGCAGCTGAGGTTTATATATTTACCTATAACAGAGTGGACGACTATAACAAAATGGAATTAAACTTTGCTTTCGGACAGTTTATGAACATAGTATTTCATGATGTCTTTATTTAAGACAAAATTAATGTTAGTTTTTAGTAGTCTTCAAAAACGTTTACTATTAAATATCTATGAATGCAGAAAGTTTATAGAGTTATGAAGGGAATAAATTATGCATATATAATATAATAGTAATTATAATGTATATAATTGTTATTATATATATGTTAATAGCGCAATAGGGTTTCTATATCATTTTATATTCTATATTAATATCTGTCTACTGTATGTCTCAAAAACGCTACTTTAAACAGCGGGAAACTTATAATTAAAAAAAGTGTGTGTCGACGAAGAATTTGTAAATATTATTTTTTAATAATTTATGTTTACTTTTAGCTTTTTTTATATAAAAAAAGTAAAAGTAAAGATAAATTAGCATAAACTTATCTATTAGGTATTATTATTTGTAAGATTCACTAAGCCAGAATTACGGTAAGATTATTTGCTACATAATTTTTTTTATATATCAAATTTCTTTTAATATTCTATTTTTAAATCGTCGCCAGTTTATTGTAAAGAAGATTCGCCGCAGTTTCGCAAATGAGATAAAAAATAGGATGTCATACTTACGAGCACGCACAATTCATAGCCGCCAAAATATTTGAGTCATATTAATATAATAAATATTTGTGGTCTGCCGCCCGTGAAAGGCTTGCTGGTAAAGGATTACTGGTAATAGTTTCACGGTTGAATGTGCCTCTATATTGGCGGCTCGGCTCTCTCTCGTTGTCCACGGAGCGTACGGTGAGCTTCCGCTATGCGTGTCCCGACTCAAAAGCTGTAGCGATTGACGAATATATTTTATTTTAATTTTATTTATTTTTATTAGGTTACTGAAGATATTTTATACGATATACTATAATTAGTAAATAATATAATTAATAATAATATTAAGTATCAGGTGCGTAATTGTAATAATTAATAAAGTAATAAGTTTATTTGACAGTAACACCATCTAGAAGAATTTTCGTCAATAGAATTATCCAGTAAAAAAATTTAACCTAATAGAACAAAATTAGGGATATGATTTACTGGACCGATTTTGATAAAATGTGCCTACAATAGCTATATGATAATTATCTTAATATAAGTTGCGTTGTTGAAATTCAGTATGTTTGTATCCTAGTGTAGAAACATAACAAATATTTGTCAAAGTTCAACATTTCTAATTGACTTTAACAAAAAACAGCAGTAGATAATTGTAAGACTTTGTAAGATATTTTAAGACATTGTAAGAAATTGTAAGACATCCATAACTATAAGAGTAGATACAGATAAATTCTTATTGCAAAAAAGAAACGTTTGATTCTGACAAGGATGTTAATAGTTTTATTCCTGTTGTATATTATGGAAACAGTTTATTTGATGAATTATTTATCTATGCATTCTTCAATTAGGTATATATCTATTATGAAGTAGTACTATTGTGATAAAACGTATTATATAATATTGAAAGTGATGTGTTGACATGGCTATAACTTAGGACAAAGCATATCCGTTAGTAACCTATATGCGTAGGTGTCGTTAAGGGATTCGTTTTAAATAGCCTCTAAAGGTATTGTTTGGCAGACAAGCTTTGTCCCAACATATCAGAAATGCTCTCGTACTCGCTCCAGTGGTTTTGCTTAATGTCGTCCTCAGGAAATGCGATTTTAACAACGTAAATATTGGAATTACAAGTCATCTCGATTCACTTCATTGCCTTCAGGCAAAAGGGTGTTGTCATCGCTCACCCTTTCATCTTTTACTGTTTCATACAACAAACAACCATATGTAAAGAAACATTTCTTTTGTATAGTTTTTGTACAAATTCGTAGACATGTATTATTTAATCCTAATAGCTTTAAATTACGGCAAAGTACGACTAGGATATAACTCTATTGAT